TTTCATATGAAGGAGCCTACGCCATATGAGGGGGTCCAAGGGCGACGATTCAACGACCGAGGTTGGCAACGAAGGAAGTGATGATGAGGAGGGCAGGGGGAGGTCGTAGTAAGCCTAGAAGGAACCTTCTCCTTTAGACAAAATTCAGCTACAAGTACATAGAGATATTTCAAGTATAAGTATATTTCAAGTACATAGAGTAGCAATCAGTGAGTGGATGAGTATAAAACTTAAATGCATATCCCTGCTTACTGTAGATTACAGTGACCACAATACAATATTAATCATGACTATTTTCTCTATCTTAAACTCGTCAACAATGTGCTGTTCCCTACATACACACATCTTCACACATACGTTTTTATTATTGTTCAAATTTTCAATCATAAATAAAATGTTTAGTATCATCTCTAAAATTTAAAATAGTTCGTTTGATATCGTAAAAACTTATCGCTGTGTCACAGTCATCATAGGTAACCCTTTTGTGTGGTTGATGCCTTTCTCCTTAGGCTTTTAATGGATTTAGAGCTAAAAATTATTTAAATCACGTTCAACCAAATAGGTAGGCCTACTGCGACTTTTAAAAACTATATAAATAATTATAGTTGTTTTTTGTTATAATAAATCAATCACCAGGATGCGGTCGCCCACTAGGTGCGTGTTTTTACCCGGAATACGATTGAATGAGTGCAGGGGCGTCATTTGGGGGGGGGGGGGGCAGAAAAATATATATGCTGTACTAGTAATACAAATAAATATTTTCTCCTTTCAAATCCTAAAAAGCACGGCAGAAATTTGAAACAAAAATAATTAATGTCTCAGTAGCACATTCAAATTAATTGTGTCAAATTATTTTATTGATAATAAAATTTGATTTGCTTTTAAGTACTTAAATACTTGTGTTTTATTAAAAAACCAAATTAAACTATGTTATAAACTATAGGCTATGAATACAACCGTATTCATTGCTATAGGTATAAATGTTGTGCAAGAGAATTTGGTCATAAATCTAATAACAAAAATAATATTGATACACCATGAAACTATTGGTCACGTTTCTTAGATGACTAACTTACCAACATTTTTATTTTTCTGTCTGTTGTCAATAATTTTGTTAGTTTCATTAACTTTCTGCCTAGATTTAACTCATAATTTTGTTTTTATTCGAAGTGCTTTTGACAATAAAAATAAGCCTTAACCCTTCTTGTTTTGTTTGGGAGGACCCCCGAACCCCCCCCCCCCCCCCCCCCGTTTGCTGTGGGGTATTCTGTACCCCCCAGTGTTTGCCCCCCAAGGATTTGGTGAAATGACGCCACTGAATGAATGTAAAATTGTGTGAGATGATCTGAGTAAAATAGTTGTGTTACTGACTAAGAGACTAAGATCAGCTGTTGCATTAGACAGGAAAGCCCAATGATCAGGAACAGCTGTTCAATAGGTTCGAATCATCATAGGGCTACTGAATTTTCTCAGGATCAAACCGCTGACCTTTTTATTTATGCGAGCACCATAACCACTCAGCTACCTAATTGCAATGCCATGTATTGTAGGTGAATTTAGATACGTAATTTACCAAACCAATTGATTTTACTTTTTTAACCTACCTAAAAAAATTCAAGATCCTCCATCGCTTCGAAGCAATAACAACCAACAAAATCATATAATTCGTATAGCCTACTAACATAATTAATTATGCTATTATGTAGTTAATTGACTTAGCTGAAATTAATAGATTTTTTAATAGTGTGTACTATATCTAATCGGAAAGTTTGAAATAAGTTTCGAAATTTACTATTTGATATTTTATTAATAATAACACTAATGACTAGAACCTTTGACTATTAAGAACTTAGAAACAGAGGAATTTCATTATTATCTTTTTACGCGAGTATTTATAACATTACATCGTTCAACGCGAGAAAAAAAAATTGTACCCCATCCGAACTCGGCCTACTCTAGAAATAATGAAAGGCAAGAAAGAAAACCGCAAAGTGGTCCAAACAGCGGTAATTACAATAACAAATCAGAACGAATGACAAAGGCACGATGAATGAACAGATGGTCGGTTACACAACTGATAACGCAGCTCCATACAGCTCAAGTTCGCACGTTACGTTGCGGAGAAGCGAGCCATTCTCGTCCTAGTGGCAGGTCAGCTGCGGACAGGTTGTTACATCATTGCTGAGTAGGTTAGGTTCAGGAACGCAGCCAAAGAAAGAATCATTATGACCATCGTGTAAAATTCATCGTTTTGTTTCATGTGTTTCCGACCATTATAAAAGTTTATCAGTAATTTTGCCATAAACAATTTTTGAATTAATTCTAGATGGGATTACATTACAAAATGTATATTTTCTATTAAACGGGTTTTTACCAGAGAGTGGAGACACTATACAAATACAGTACCACACAGTAACCTTATTTGTAATAATTTTAGTTCCAAAAGTCTGACATTGGATTTGATTCCATAAAACCCGCTGGGGTGGACCCCTTTTGACGGATCTGCACAAAACTTCACACAAACTACGTCCTTATAAATAATGCTTAATAATGCCTGAAAGTTTCATTACAATCTGTCGAGCGGAGTCCATAGGGTACAGAAATACATACTTTCTCTTTTATAGATAGCCTATAGATTAATTAGTAAGCAATCCGTTCCTCAGTTTAAATTAACTACTTGGTATGAATTGGCAGTGCAAAAACTGGTGCCAATTTGTGATGTCAGGTCTTGGTCGTGAAAACTGTTTGGAAAACTGCCTAAGCCTATTGTCTCTACCACCCATTCATGTAAGGTCACATAGTGTGTGCACAGAAGTAAACGAGCTGGCAATGCCTATTGTCTATAGGGCAGGTTACGAGATACATTATCGTCATGGATAATGGATCAGCTTAAGACAATTGCAATTAGTTCTGTCATGTTTATAAGGGTACTTGTTGTATATTAATTGTTTCTTGTTATGTAGCCACTTTAAATACTATTTCAAACCAGATGCGGCCCTACATAAAGGCGAAAAAGGCGTGTGTGGCCCCGCGCTTTTCAGGGGCCCCGCACAGCCATATTTAAGTTATTAAGAGAGGTCCGCTATTGAACTTTACCTTGGGCCCCGCAATTTCCAGGGCCACCTCACCACTGTTTTAACCAAACAAATCTATTGATCATTGATGTGTAAACCATGATTAAGTACATTGTATTGACACTGTCATGTGTATTGAGCGAATGAAGGATACTTTCATTTGGTCATTGCTTATTCTATGGTGTTTCTTACACAGATAGTAAAATCTATGAAAAAAGTGATAACCAGTGCTCTTAAATGTCGCCAAGGAGAAAAGTGCAAGTGCATATATAAACACCTTTCAGATTGTGCAGGATGAGCAGTTTTACTTCACTTCCACTCTTCAAAGTCAAATTTGTTGGCTAAAACTGCATATCCAAAATCACTTCCTAAGTTTAATTGGTCAAACGATGTGGTGTGAGTGTTAACCAGTTACGATATCCCACCCAACAAGAACTATTTGGAGTTAATCAGAAAGCCCAGATGTGGCAGTGGCATGTAGCTCAAGGTAGTTCTACTTGTCCACTTCCATTTATGTCCCTTGGACACCCCGTCATGCTCTAGACCTCTGTTTTATGGCATGTACCAGTAATTAGATCTTATCCATTTATATGCATTAGGAGGGTAAATGCCCATTAATTGCTGCAAAGGACAAGTCTAACAGAACTTGATTCTTGTTATTTGAGCAATTTTGATTCTTGTTATTCGATCAGTTTAAATTCTTGTTATTCAAGCAATTTTAAAACTAGTTTAACTAAATTTAACAATTAAAATGTAATGCTCTTATTTTGGATTGTAATCAAAGGACATTCATATCCACAAAATTTGGATGTATTTGGACATCATAAGCAAGCTTAAAATATTTTAAAAGGAATTTCGTTGTGGTGGACACTATGAAAAGAGCAAAGTATTATACTGTAAAATCCTCCCTAAATGAGAGAGAAATTTTAAAATAATATCAACATACTCAGATATGACCAACATGAAATCCACATCAGAACAGGCTTTAGATTTTACAGTACAGTCACCCTCTCACATACACTTGCACTATATATACATACACTTCTTGTGGATTTTGAGACTGACTTGAGTATTTTTAATAGTTATAGCTCAGAGTAAACACTTTAAGTTTATTTGTTTACACTGAGCTTGTAGTTATATAGGTTAATTTGAATCGCTCTGAACGAGCTATCAATTATCAATCTTTGAAATAGGGACGCCACCTAGGTGTGTATTTTAACCCGTTTATGAGTTAAGGTTGAGTTTAGAATCGTGTGAGATGATCTGTGTAGCCATAGATAGAAATAATACTCCCTTAATAGATTTATCATCCTTTTGTATCAGCTGAAGACAATTTTATTGTTAATTACGTCCGGTTCACTGTAGAGGTCTAGATTTTGTTTACAATCTCGTTTAACCAAATAAAACGATCTAATCATAAACAATAACTCATCCCCCAGTTATATAGCCAAACATTATAAAGCATAACTCATTAAAATAGCCCTAAAATAATAGAAACAAATTTTTGTCAACACTAGCGATCAGGGTCACCGGTCGTGAACTAGACACGAAAAATTAGCTTCAAAAGTTACAATAGGAGGAGAAGTCTACTTGTGTTGGTTATGGTGTAGCTTTCTTACTGACTAAGATCAGCTGTTACAATAGTTAGGATCATTTATTTAAAGCCAAATGATCAGGAACTGCTGGGTCCAGTTTCAAACTATCAAAAAGCAACTGATTTCTCAGGATCGAATCAGCGACCTTTTGATTGTTAGGCAAGCACTGTAACCACTCTGCTACCCATAGTCAAAAAGAGTTGTTATGTTAGCCAGTCTTTAAAAATAATTGAACCCATAAATCCAATTTCGGTAAATTACATTTTTTAAATCGTATTGTAACACATTGCGATACATGGATACAATGTTAATGTAATTTTTGCAATTTCAGGAGAGGGAGGTTTATGGAAGCCGGGCACGGCTTGCCACACCTTCACCCTCCCCTAACCCACCAGAGGACGGCTGGTTCAAATCCCTCACTCGCAGGACAAAACACTCAAAGGTATAATGTTAAATTTAGAAAATATCAGTTTAAAAAAGATGAGTGAGATGAAAATAGACAAAATGTTATTTGCACAAGTTTAAATGTTGCTTTTGAAAAAGCTTTTGACAATAAACTGTAGAGCAGCCGGAAATCTGTGTCTTGCTTGAGTAAAAGAATATAAAAACCAAAATCAAAGTAACAACCAGATACCTGTTGCATTAGCTCTATCCATTAGAATCTGCCATCGCTACAGTACAGAGTGTATATCAATGTGGTATCTTCAGAATGTGCTTCTTGCACAGAGGTATTATGATTAGTGTACGTCTTGGAAAGTCTAAATAATGAAGTGTTTTTTCCAAGTTATTTTCTGGAGTCAAACCTGTTCTGTGTGATCATAATTATTTTGAGTTTCTAAAACAAAATTTTACTAAATCTACTTTGGCCATGAACAGTTGTGTTATTTTTATCTAGCCATTGTTGTAACTTGTAACTATATCTAAGCTCCAATCCATATGACATATGAAAAATAGACTTGCTCAACTATTTATGTGGAGGGCTCGAGTTTAAATAAGTGAATAAAGGACCCTTGCAAAGCCCTTCCAATATAAAAGGGCTGCGTTTCTAGCCTAAATAGATTGTGATTTGGACCATGGTACAGCAAAGACTGATGGTTATGGTTTGATACCCATCATATCTACATATAGCTTTGAGAGATGAGATTTGGACTGTTTTCCCCATGAAGTTTTTAGTGATACTTTCATTAATGCCAATGTAACAAACCACAACTTGATATGCAGATTACTCAGTTCCCTTTATATCTCCAGGATGACAAGAAGCTCCGCAGGGAGGAGGAAGGCAGCAAGCAGCTGAGGTTCTTCGGTGACAGTGACCGAGAGTCTGTGAGGTCCGGGCGGAGGCCGTCCCCGTCACGACAACCTCGCCATGGTTCCAACCCCCACCTGCTCCAGGTCAGACTCTCCAACCTTTCATTATTTGTTTTTATAAAGAGATAGGTGGCCTCTTTTATACTTGCATTTACCCATCCACATAGGCCTCAGGCCTGTGCAAGAAATGTATTCAGCAAAGTAAAGGGTATAAGCCAGTACAACAGTACAAGAGTGATAAGCACCAGAATCTGAAAACACAACATCGCTGCCATGAATACGAATCCTCTTGCGCTACGGACTCACTAACTTAGGGATATTTAGCCTGTTCTGCATCATCATAAATCTTGCATATCATAAGTAGACATCCTATTTTTATGGACCAGCTGCAGCCTATTTGTATTCAAATAGAACAATTGAATGAGCCATTTATAGAGTGTACACCTGTCAAAGTTTGATTCTATATCCTTTATTTTTCTGTACCATTTGTTGGTACGATGATTTTTTGGTTAAGAAGTTGGCGTTGGTGGAAATCGGTAATTTATATCAGCACTCTGTTAGTAGCGCCAATTTTCGCTCTGAAACGGAAACATGGGAATGTAGTGTGTAGTTCTATCAATAGTCGGGGTGTTGCACAAAAAGGCTACATCTTTGGTGAACTTCCAAGTAGGGAAGAAAGAAACTGTAACCTCTGTCACTGTAAGAATCGTAAACTGAACAGATAACACAATACACAGAGATGAATATGTGGAGATTGATTTTTTAACAGTTCCATGTAATTTGATGATTATAAAAATAGGCAGTGTTCGATTTGTAAAAAAATATGTGCTGGAACTGAAGCTATATTTAATGTAATTTGTACCTTTGTATCTACCAATTTATGCCCATATCTTTCTGTAAGGGAAGTACCGGAACTCTGTTCCGGCAAGTTCCCCCAAAAATCGAGCACTGCATATGGGTATAATTCAATTTGAATTAATAGTACTTCCAATTATGTTATGAAACAGATTTTGAATACCAGTTCCACAAAGAAGTTATTTTTCATTTGATGGCCTCGATGAATTATTTCAAACAGTTCTGGAGCATAAATATTTTCTCATCCCAATATTTATTTGTAATTTATTTGAATATTTGATATTTTCTTTTGGGATCTTTCCGCCCTCTTAGTTTTATTTTTATGCTGATCTTTTTTTCTTTAAATATTCAGTTGGTTTTGCTCTTTGAATCCTCAAATTCTATTTGTAACACTAACAGATCTTGCATATTATTCCAGCCAGATTTGTAATATCAAGTCTTATGGAATCACTCTTTCTTTCTATTTACTGCAATGTTAACAAAATCAATCTCTGATTAACCACTGGTCAATCTTTAAGTTCCTAAAAGGAATTTAGATTACATTTACCAAAGTAATGTGCATTGATGTTTCCCTGCACAAAACACCTGAATTAGAATTACACATACTTGCATTGTGATGATAAAACAGATTTAATATTGTGTGTATAGGTACCTTCGCAGAGGCACACAAGAAGATCAGCCCCTGACAGTTCAGCAGAAAGTACCACTGAAGGGGAACACAGCAACCACTCACAGAAATCTGTGGTCTACCTCCATGCTGCCACTGGTCAGTGAAACTTAACAATACTTACATAGTATATAAAAGTAATAGGAATAATAACTGTTTATTGCCACTGAACCTGTACACGTAATAGACATTGAGTCAGGTATACTAGATGTCATTAAGTCTTGAAACGTTTCAGCAGCATAAAAAACTCCTCTATTAAATTCAATCACTGACTTTTGAATGTGTACTGAATTAGACATCTATATATATAATTCCGTAAGTCAAATTTTTGTAAAGAAATTGTGAGTGACTGGATGGCCGTAGAAGGATGGGAGGGGTCTTATTTTAAAGGTCTTGACGTAAATTTTGAGGGAAAACTATTCATTTTTCTAATTTTTTTACCATAAATTCGCAACAGAATAAAACTTTTCCCATTAAAACAACATGGGGTTTAATTTTTTTACATCTTTTGAAATTAAAACAGCTGTGCCACAGATTTGAAAAAAGTGATCAATACACGCATTTGGTTTACTTTTAGCCAGTCAACTATGAAATGTATACTATAATAAAACTGAAATATTGAAGATTAGTCGGAAAAACGTCTGCATTCTTTGTTTATATTTAAATCATGTGCTCAAGTTTCATTTTTTCATGCTTTTACGTTATTGTCGTGTTAAAGGAATAAACGACATAGAATAAATATTCTGTTTAAATAATCAAAGAGTCGAAATTAAATCTAACTTCTGTTTTGTTTTTATTTTTAAATCATATGTTCAAGTTTATTTTAAATAATGTTGTTTTCTTTATATTTCTACACATTTTAAGGTTAAGGTTGTGTGAATATATACAACTAAAATAACCTATAAATGTTATTGGTTCTAAAATGGTGTATTTGCATTCCTTCGTAAGTAAATTTGTTTAGTGCAGTGAATATACAACGTAGAGTAATCATATTCGATAATACTTTTATAAAATCACCAGGGATTCAAGATGTTTTGGTATGTAGGCTGCTGGATATATATTCTTTTCATTATAAGTACTGTAATTAATATGAACGCCAGGGGAATACCACAAAGGCGGGGAACTGTTCATAGGAATGACAGTGCGCGTAGGAGAGCAAGAGTAGATAATGACGAACTTAATCAAGATATGTTACAACCCCTTTTTAGGAGACCCATGGTAGACGAGAGAAATGTAAATATCCATTATGCAGGATTACTGGACCAAGAGTGCATTAAATGTTGTGCTCTTCATTTTAGAGAAGAACTAACGAATAATCATTTTATGACATGTTGCCATAACGGACTTATTAACCTTCCTCAGTCAAAAACTAATGTAGAACTTAAAAGTTTGTTTGAAGAGAGCCCACAACTGTATAAATTCATTCGACAATGCAACAGTGCGATGGCTTTTGCTTATTTTTCAGCCGGTAAGAAAGATATTCCAGGAAAAGGACCATACTGTTTCAAAATTCAAGGACAGATTTATCGTTCAATCTCAGATTTGCTGCCTCAACATGATGAAGACCCCGTGTATGGCCAATTGTACATTATTGACACATCAACAGCAACAGAAATTCGTCAAAGGCGTAGAGAAAATAGTGACTTAAAACCTGAAATATTGTCAAAACTAGCTGAAATTCTATTAGAAAATCCATTTGCACAAATTTACAAAAGAGCTTCGGAAGAAATGGTTGTACAAGGTGACAGTGAATTAGAACTTAGGTTTGTAGACAGGATAAATATGGATCGTCGTAGGTATAATAAGCCTACTGCAGATGAAATTGCAGGCGTCTTCAATTCATCTGAAGGCGAACCTCCAATGAATTTTTAAAATTCCAAACAGGGAAGCTTTTATTTATCCTCATTAACCACAAGACCAAAGCTACCTTAGTAAACCAGTATTTATTCACAAACAATGATATGTTTGCTGCTTTTTCATGTTAAACCACTGGAGTGATTCCAATTATTTATTGAAAATGACATCAACAAAAGCAAACAAAGAAGAACAACAAACTGGTTTTTACACAAAAGATATGGTGTAGGGATGCCTATTCTGACACATAGATAATGTTATTCTGAGTTTGTTTAAATACCGGTATTGCAAAAAGTTGTTTTACATTTGAGCTTTTTAGGGATTTATGTCCCTACAAGCCACTAGTACCTACTATATATGGGCTAGATCTAGCCAATTTTGTATAAAAAATTAATCACAGTTGGATCTTGGATGATCCATCCACAGGATGAGATTCGGTCAAAACTATATTTTCTCCCCAAGTGTTATCAGTCTAAAATTCTATTTTCTCCTTTTCATCCTTTTAAAAAAAATGATACTACATGACATATATTATGCCATAGCTTTCAATAAGTTGTCATTTCAGTTTTACTTAAAATCAGTAAGCCTACTTTATATTTAATATCATCACACTCAGCATTATTTGTAAAGGGTGTAATTACTTTTGTTAAACGAAGCGGTTTAATCCAGGGTCTTGTTAGAATCTATGGAGCCATTTTGCTGGAAAGCTTTAATTGATAGCTCTTGTTAAAAAAGCTCAAACAGTCCTAGAAATGACTTTTAGGATCATCTTTGTTACCTTGAAGATGAGTTAACCTTCTATTTAAATTTTAACTTCTCTATACGATTTAAAATGGATGATCATCATGCTAAACAACATTTTTCATCTCTATAAAACAACTAGTTTTATACTGACCGCTACCAATCAGAATTACTGCCTAGTCCATGATCACTCGTATTTTGTCAAATCAGTTTGGTCACAGGATGGAGAGCAGTTGTTGGTGCGACCAAATCTCGCATTGGGCATAAATGGCCATGGGAGTGAGTGAGTTTGGTCACAGAACACTACACAGAATGTTTCTTATGTTAACAGTCGGAGACATCCCTGGTTCGCGGCGGTTGCACCGCTCAGTGGTGGGGGGAGGACGCAGGTCGCAGAGTAGAGAGGAGCTCTCTAGTGGAGGGGGAGAGGTCATCACGCCACACACTCGAGCACTCTCACGGTCCGTCTCTGTGCTGGCTCCGTGGAGACCTAAACACATTCACGACGGCCGAGAGGTATTGATCAAATTCTTGTAATTTACTATAGGAAAATAGATTATGGTTTGAAGGTTAATTTTATAGCACGAGGAAATAATCTAAATGGTCTTTAAATGCAAATCTAAAATAATTCAAGTTCCATTTGGTCTAAAAGTGTTAGTGTTGAGTCAGCCTGTAGAGGCGATTTGGTGAGTGGACATGTGCCTAACACCCATGAGAATGTTTACAAAGCATTAAAATTTACTATCATTATCCTGAGCTGTATGACTTAAGCCACAGATCTTATCGAATCCATGAGTTATACTTCACAATTTCATTTTTTAGGTCCAATACGACAATGAGGGGCGGCCACCAAAACCTCCGAAGCAGCCGAGAAACACTCTAGAAAAGCAGAAAAAGAGTTTACGAGAGTTGCAGAAGAGCAAAGAAAACCTGGACGTTCAAGAGAACAGCTCTAAAAGGAGAGGAAGCAGTGAAAGTGTCTTAACAGAGAACAGACGAAGCCGAGGAAATTTGGTGTTTGTGGGGAAACGGGAAAGTTATGGGCGAGACGAAGTAGACACCCCTACAGGAACGGCAACTATGGGACGACAACGGAACAAGAAGGACAAACGAGACTTGGGCCGCTCCGTGTCCATCCCGCGAGATAACCGGGTGTCTTCCGGCTGGTTCAAGGGGAAAAACAAGTAGAAGCTTGACCTCCTCGTCAAAGAGTTTGACAGTTGATTTTAACATCCAACCTCAAACAAATAATTTCCAAACTTTGTAGCTTAAACCTTTCAACTTAAAATATCGAGTTATGTAATACATTTTAAAACATTTTTATAAAAAAACCACCATATATACATAAATCAACTCTTGAACTTTTTGATAATGATAACAACCCTTACTTTTGTTAAATATAAGTTTTAGTCATAACCATATGTGATTGTATATTTTCATACCACGTTCAGTCACTTGTTAGTTATAAGTTTTTCTAATGTTGAACAGATAGTGTTTGCAGTAATTTAATCTACCTTTGGCATTTCCTGATAATGGTGCAATAAATTAAAACTACTCAATTTTTGTTTTCAAACTTCTAATTCTCAGAATATTAAGTTGGTGAGTTGAACTTTTTGATTAGAACGGAGTGTGTGTGTGTGTCTTGTTTATGATGAAATTGTTACAATTGTTTCAAAACATATGCTAAGTTTGAAGTTTATCAGATTTATTCTGCCTTTACTTAAGTTAATTAGATTAACAATGGTGCTATTTGTTAATAATGCCCTTAACAGTCAATAGTAATCCTAGTAGTTTTGTATAATGTAAATAATTAAGACTAATCTCAATCCCTAATAAAATATTTGTATTAATCAGCATACTTATTTGTGACCACTCCAATTTAGTTGTTTTCACCACAATAAAAACAAAAACAATTGATTTTTATGTTAATTAAGACAAAAATAGGCCTGGTTAAATCCATGGTGCTCGATGGTTTAATTGAAGTCCTTGGTCTGAATAGGATATGGTGTAAATTTCGTTTACGTATATTCCGAGTGGGACTGTAGATAAATATCCCGATGCTTGATGTGAAATCTGTGCATGCATACCTTCAATTTGAGACCTCAATCATGAAAATCAATCTGGTAAAAGATCCAAATGAACTATGAAAAGAAAAACCAAATTATTTTAATATAAGATTAGATTTCTAATCATCTTTTTTAATTTTGAAAAAACTTGTAATAAAATAATCCTTTATTGTACCAATAAATGTTAATTAAAAATTTAAATTAATGTGCACAACCCTAAGTAACAATAAGGATTTATCAACAATCATAAAACAGTTGTTTGTAAACTTATTGGATTTTAAAAACTATAAAATATGTTGTATCTGAATTCGACACACAGATACAACTCTGAACAAAGCTGCAGAATTGCTGATAGGGGAGAGTCATTGGATGGATGGATATAACTTTATTATTAAATTTTCTTTTATTAAAATCACATTTTTCAAAGCAAATTCTTGTTGGATATTCCAACTCATAAAAGCATACATCACAGGATCTACACGTGGAGATTTGAGGCAGCCAGATAGCTGTTATGGCCGAAGGGCTTCATACTGGTTATGGTTCAACGTAAGTTCTTGTCACACTAGCCACATGTAAGTCCCTCTGGCCACATGTAAGTTCTAGTCACTAGACACATGTAAGTTCTCGTCTCAGCACTGGACACTTCTAATAGCATACCTAAAGGGTGTCCAATATATAGCAAGCCGTCCCCAAAACTACTAGAATGGAGCCCACGACAGTTCCTAAAAAAATAACAACTTTATTAAGTGAGTGTTTTCTTTAATGACCAACCTTCTAAGTATCAACTTATATCCAAAATGTCAGATATTTCAAACACAAAGAACGCAAAATCGAAATTCCAACCCCCAAAACAAGCAAACAATGAAAACATCATGGAATCATAATGCTAAAATAGTGTACAAATTAAATCAAAATGATAAAATTTGTATTCTAAACTTACTCAAGTTAGGCGTGGTTTCTCCAAGACACCAGCCAGTTACCGCTGTTGAGACAAAAGCTATGGAATTGGTAATGGGTACAGCAAACGTCAAATCTGCAATGAAAAACAAGTTTTTTTTGTTTGTTGACTACTGGTACTTGAAGCTGACTTATTCACGTTAAATTAATGAACAGTAGCATAGATTAAAGGAGTAGACCTAATATGTCTGCTCCTTTAATCTGTGAGTGACTGTAGTTGTTGTTGTTGGTGGGGATTTTTCTGTCAAGATATCTACTGTAACACACATCTTGACTACAATACTGACACTTAACAATACAGTAAACCAGTTCGACACGGGATGAGATATTTTGTCAAGTGATATTTAATGGTTATATTGTGATGTAAGCTGATTTGAACATTAATTTGTCATTTATTGTTGACTTGAGACTAATGAACAGTGAAATTGTTAAGCTTTTTAGTATTTAACTAGGTGGTGTTTGCAGAGGCATCCACAAAATTGAGCGGAGTCATCAAGGGTTCACATTATATTGTTTTTGCCATACTGCAGTAAAAACAGTTGTTTTTAATGCATGCGTTGCGGGTCTAAAGTAGCATTTTTACTCTTTAGGGAGTAAAAATCGTTTTTAGCCTCTATGGAGTAAAAATCAGTTGTTGTCAACTCGGTTGTAAATTTTTATTGTAAACGATTGCATGTATCGAAATATGTATCGATTCGTGCTTCGTAATCATTTTAACCTACAGTCTACAGTCATTCCCATAGCGTTTTACATTGCAGATTCATTAATCCATTCCCACACTCAACACTGCTCACCATTACTACATCCTTCACCACCCCCTATGTCTCGGACCTGTTTTCCTCCCTTCCCATAGCATTTTAGGATTGCAGATACCTTAATCTAATCGTCATAAACAGATCCCACAGTCCGGACTGCTCGCTTTTACTACTTTCTTCACCACTTTTTACGTCACGGACCTGTTTCCCTCCCTTCCAATAGCATCATAGGATTGCAAATACCTTAATCTATTGGTCATAAACAGATCCCACACTCCGAACAACTCGCCTTTACTACTTCCTTCACCACTTCCTACGTCACAGACCTGTTTCCCTCCCTTTCCATAGCATTTTAGGATTGCAGATACCTTAATCTAATCGTCATATAAACAGTTCCCACAGTCCGGACTGCTTGCATTTACTACTTCCTTCACCACTTCCTACGTCACGGACCTGTTTCCCTCCCTTCCCATAGCATCATAGGATTGCAAATACCTTAATCTAATGGCCAAAAACAGATCCCATACCCCAAACAGCTCGCCTTTATTATTTCCATCACCACTTCCTACGTCACGGACCTGTTTCCCTCCCTTTCCATAGCATTTTAGGATTGCAGATACCTTAATCTGATCGTCATAAACAGTTCCCACACACCGGACAGCTCACCTTGACCACTTCCTTCACCACTTCCAACGTCGCAGACCCGTTTTCCTCCCTTCCCATAGAATTTTAGAAATCCAGATACCTAAATCTAATCGTCATAAACAGTTTCCACACTCCAGACTGCTCGCCTTAACTACTTCCTTCACCACTTCCTACGTCACGGACCTCAAGCTAGTGTCGTCATTTTATTATATACCGTTTCTGTTCTAATATCTGTGGAATAATGCTATCAGCTATTTCTTTATCTACTGAATTCAAAAGTCAACAGCTGATCACATGTCTTTGTTTATGTGTCAAATACTGCTTCCATAAGGATTACATTGAAACTTTGAGACCCAGTGGGGTGGATTCCTGAGAGACTTTTTTAACGCCATATAGATGTTGGCACTCACTGATATGGTCTTTATCACCATGCAAGATTTGAAAACGATTGATTCAGCCGTCTAGGAGGAGTTTGTGTATTACGAAATGCATAAGCGTCAACGTATAAGAGCTTCGCTCGCTCGGCTCAATAAATTTGTATGATTTCTATATAGGAATAAGACTTGTGTTTTTACTTTCCTGTATGTTAAACTCCATTTACTCCCTATAGTTTGACATTTCAATAGTTTGACACCCCTTAGGTCCACAAAGTGTCGAACTATCGAGGTTCTACTGTACCAGTAAAAGTATGATGATTCCTGTCCTGTACTCTTGAAATACATGCTAAATAAAGAATGGAAGTGTCAGAAAATATAAGAATATTGTAGCCATACAATCAATTATTTTTTACTGGTTAATTTGAAATAGACTTCAAAATCCTTATAACATTGAGAAAATGAAGGATTTAACGACAATTCACTTGGAACTATTTTTATTAATTGATTATTAGGTAGGACAAATATAATGAAATGAAATGAAGTAATGAAATGAAATGAAATGAATGTAGCTATCAAATGAAATGAAATACTCACTAGCTGATTGCAGAGCAAAATAGTATAAAACTGAGCCACACTGGTTGATAAGGAATGGTATCATATACTGAAACAGACATAAAGTATGTTTGACATTAAAAAGGTCCACCCTTAGAGGAGGTATATTAAGTGATTTGAGACTACACAAAAATGAAACTATTCATTATGATAGCCTCTTGAACTTCTATTTCAAGAATAAATTAGGATATTAACCTTTCCATCTCCACAGCTCAATCATTTAAGTACAAGATGGCAATTTACAGTTCAGAGCTTACAGCTGGATTATCAGGTGTGGTGTTGTTTGGGCTATACAAATTTGTTGAGTCTTGTCAAAACATGATTGGAATATGAGATAGATACTACTGTAGGCTACATACATGCCTAATATATTTTTTAACATTGAGGTTGTCTAGCCCGCACATAGCGTTGGCGATATAAAACACATTATGAACTTTGATTTGTATTAGTGATACTGGTATTTTTGGTAAATAAATAAGATGATGCAAATGGGTTAAGGATCTCAAATTTTGTTCTCATTCTTTTAGCCAAATAATCCTCTGCTGGTGACTGATTATCATTCTGTGGTGTGGCCTTGTATCTAAAAACTATTTCTTGCACTTGTGCATTGAATAATTTTCAAATGACAATAGTTTGTTTGTTCCACTATCTAGACAATTAAATATAGAATTACATTCAGTGGTTAAGATAATCTATGAAAATCTTAAGGAACAGTTTTTAATACCAAAAGAGCGGCGGTTAACTTTATCCTTTATATGTACCTCTATGAGCTGAAATGGTTTGAAGAATATCACTTCCGTCATCAACTTTAACAAGTTAATATGTTTTGCAAAAACAATCAGAACATTGTAAACCATTTAGGACATTGTCGGGAATTTGCTAGTTTGAATTTTTGAATTGAGGGCTCATCGTTAAGCTCTTCATCTTAAATTTTGACACTAACTTCTATTATGTATTAAGATATATTTGGAAAACATCAGTTAATATTAATAGAGGTACTCAAATAAGACATTTTATGGAATCTTGCCTACGACAATAATTTATTCCACTCAAAGTATATTTGACTTTACAATGTTTTGGTCACAGCATGGGGTTTGAGCCCTCTACTCTACCTCACAAATCACTGAGAATACCCATCGGTCAGCTAACAGCTTCCTGCATAGCTGAAGCCTACGTCAACAATGACAGGGACATCATCTTCGACACTCACGGCCGTGGCTAAACCGTGAACGTCTCCCGTGGTCAGCAATTACGGGACATCATCACCGTCATTCCGCGGCCGTGGCGAAATCGTTAACATCTCCCTCGGAAACTAATGGTTAAAAAAAAATATTGTATCTAAAAAATGTTTTTTCAATCCAACTGCGGCCCCCTTTTGCTTGCGGCCTAGTGGTAAATCCGGCACCGACTGCTGTCGGTCTATATTTAATTCAAAATTGTCTATGGTAGAACCCCGAAGGACAAAGTTACAAAATGAGTCCTTACATAGACTGGAGAGAAGAAAGATTATTTAGACTAGGTAGGTAAACAACGTAAAGGAACAAACTTTTCAGGTCAAACCAATAGATTTGTGTACAACATAAATTAGGTACCTTCCAGTTTGTCACTAGAAACTGCAGTTCCTTGAAGAATTTTAGGACAGCATTGTTAGCTTTGACTTGATTAATCCCAGTCGATCCTTTCTTGATTAAGGGATTTGTCACCCCCCATAGTAAACCAACAGCAAATAGATATAAAATCCCATCTGAAAAAAAAAAAATAGGAGAATACTACGAGAGCTTAACCCAGAGATATTTAGGCTGCACTTTACTTTAGGTCCTACACTCATTCAAATGAAAATATCGATCGATATATTGATTAATCGATTGTTTCATTCGAATGAGTGAAACATAAAGTGGTGCATAAAGTGCAGCCGATATTTAATGTAACTTACTGGTAACTTAAGTTAGCCTAGTTTTGTAACACTAACACTGGTTCCATAAAGACATAACTATCATAACCTAACCTAACCAACCATACTTGCTGATGGTGAAAAAATCGCAGTTTCAATCGATATTAGCATAGCCCAATTAAGAAACTGTACCTGATAAGTAATGCTAGCCAAATATAATACAGTAGAAACTATTTGTAAATTAGTCAATTAATAAATTCTTGGATTCAATTTTAAGTATTGTCTAACCTCAAATATCCTGCTAGGTTTAAACCTTTTAGAAGTAGCCTAAAATATAATAACTTAGACACCTGTATTTGTGTGGGTACCTATTTATCTTACCCATATTGTTAGAGTGAATTCTAAAACAATTTAACTTCGTTTTCCAACCACTTTTAGACTACTAATTAATTAATTAACTTCATAACTTGTTTATTACTGTAAAATGTAAACAATAACAAACAGGGATGGCAACGGCAAGTGAGCAGCAGCAGACAAGATGAGATTACGAACGAGACCACAGGCCAGAGCAAGGACAGCTAAACTAACTAACTAACAATAAGTGACGTACACCATTGACTATATTATACAGGGTGATTTTTTAAAACTTGCATCTTTATTTATGTAAACACCGCAATAGATAGAAATATGTAGTTTGCGGGAATCATCTATTGACGTAGGAGGCACATTTTTTTTAAATTCAAAGTTACATTCACATTCCCCCCCTTTCCCCCCTGCCCACAACTTATTTTTTTTAAATGGCAAGGTATCCCTTGTGACATATCAAATGAAAGAGCATGAAAAAAGAAAATGTTTGATGAAAAAAATTGAAAATCGGTTCATAAATTTGTGAGATATTCCCCTCCTCCCTCCCCCGGAACTTAATTTCTTTTAATAGCAAGGTACCCCTTGTGACATATCAAATGAAAGAGCATGAAAAAAGAAAATGTTTGGTGAACAAAATTGAAAATCGGCTCATGAATTTGTGAGATAATCCCCCCACCCTTTTCCTCTACCCATAACTTTTTTTAATAGCAAGGTATCCCCCCTCGTGACATATCAAATGAAAAAATAATTTCGCCAAACATTTTCTTTTTTCATGCTCTTTCATTTGATATGTCACAAGGGGTACCTTGCTATTAAAAAACATTAAGTTCCGGGGAGGGGGGGGGGAAATATCTCACAAATTTATGAACCAATTTTCAATTTTTTTCATCAAACATTTTCTTTTTTCATGCTCTTTTATTTGATATGTCACAAGGGTACCTTGCTATTTAAAAAAATAAGTTGTGGGCAGGGGGGAAAGGGGGGATTGTGAATGTAACGTTGAATTCAAAACAATTGGGCCCCCTACGTCAATAAATGATTCCCGCAAACTGCATATTTCTATCTATTGCGGGTTTTACATAAATAAAGATGCAAGTTAAAAAAAAAACACCCTGTATAGTCAATGCGTATACACTATACTTCCCGCAAACTTTCGTGGCGGCTGAGGGATTAGGACGGCCGGGTGGTGGCCCGGCCCCTAATTAGCCCTCGCTCGGCTGCACTGGGTTTTGACCATGAGTCAGGCACTAGGCGTAATGCATAGTTGATAGAGTTTTTGTATATCGCCATAAAGTGTATTGAATAACGTCATTTTTGTAACCTGCATCAAATAACAAGAACATTGAGCCCAAACACGAAATAATTACGATGATTTGAAGTATATAGGCCTACTTGGTTTTAAAATAAGATACAGTTTTTAGAACAATGTATGTAGTTACTGTATTTCCAAACTATTTACACTACTGTTCACTAACTATTTACAATTATGTTCAGAGAATGTCGTCCAAAGTTAAAATTAATAAATCTTAAATAATTAAAGATAAAACATCACCAATCTACTCAATGTTTAGACCAAACTTTAGTTGTATTCATATATAGATTCGAACAACAACGGCATGGTGCTAACAGATATTTCTTTTCAGGGAAATGGTTTCACCTCCAGCTCTTGCGAGAACCAACAAGTCTATGTATATAATTGTAAATAGTTAGTGAACAGTAATGTAAATAATATTTAAATACTCTTAGATATATATATCTTGATCTGAAAACTGTGTATTATCCTTTAAAAACGTGTAGGTTTGTACTTGTTAATATAGAAAATATTTTGTAACACATTCAGCTCATGAGTGAATCTGGATAACATAATAGTAAATGGATTTTGAACAGTATTGTGAAAAGTTTTTAAATTGTCTAAAATGTATATAATTTATTCTATGATTTTATACTAAAACAAAGTGTAGGCCTGTATTTAATAATATCGCAATTATCCTTTTGTTTCACATTCATCTCCGGCGTGATTTGGAAAATATTCTCTGTACCGTACATAATTGTAAATTGCAAATAGTTAGTGAACAGCAGTGTAAATAGTTTGGAAATACAGTAACCTTAAATATATACCTTGTTCTAAAACTGTCTATTATTTTAAAACCAAGTAGGCCTATATACTTCTTAAAATCATCGTAATTATTTCGTGTTTGGGCTCAATGTTCTTGTTATTTGATGCAGGTTACAAAAATGACGTTATTCAATACACTTTATGGCGATATACAAAAACTCTATCCTCTATGCATTACGCCTAGTGCTTGACTCATGGTCAAAACCCAGTGCAGCCGAGCGAGGGCTAATTAGGGGCCGGGCCACCACCCGGCCGTCCTAATCCCTCAGCCGCCACGAAAGTTTGCGGGGAGTATAATTATGTTCAGTGTTGCATTCTACCATAGACAAACCAACACATGGGAATATTTTTTATCTATGATTCTAGGAATTAGATTTTGATTAGCTGAAGACAATTTTACTTTAGTTCCGTCTCAAAGCAGTAAGATACTGAGAATACAAGCACAAGCATACATATGGGACAACCGTGCGCCTATAGCTCTTTTATTTTGGGACGGAAAGTTACTAGTAGTATCGAGCAAGGAAGAGCCCGAACGGTGATGGCCAGGCCACATAGCATATTTTACAGCTGGTGTAGCGCACAGGGTCTTCATACCATGGTGGTTGTAAATATTTACTTCCACCATCACCATGCTTCCTACCACTTGAGTGTTGTGGTAAGTGGTGGAGAGGGGAGGAAGGAGAGTAGAAGGGGACAACGAATAGAATTATTTGTTCTAGACACCACCAAATAAAATTGAATGTATCTCTGTTTGTTCCTTACTTCTCTATGTTTCCGTCAAGTGCCGCTTGAATCGTGTTGTTGTTTTAAGATTTGTTTCAGGTTATTTCATTAAAGAACTAGTTATATAAGAAACAATTGATTACGTCAACACTAGCACCCAGTGTCACCAACATGAACTATACACGAAAAACTAGGTTAACAATTTACACAACCTTTATGGGCATGGGTAAAAGGTTAGTCTATGACTATTTTTCGCCCAAAATATTTTATATACAAAAAACAATATTTTCAGAGATCATTTTCCTACTACTGGGTATTGAAGATTTAAATAATAAAATAAACTGTTACCTTGTTCAATATCCCTTTTCTTCTTGTGACGACCGGTTTCGTGACGACAGTCACATCAACAGGTTTAATGTGTTTTTGTTTTGTGTTCGGTAAAAACGTTATGTATGTATAACGAATCGTTCTACTAGGACTGACCTGATGATGTGACTGTCGTCACGAAACCGGTCGTCGCAAGAAGAAAAAGGATATTGAACAAGGTAACAGTTTATTTTATTATACAATATTTTATTTACTATGTTCAATCTTTATCTCAAACAACGCTTCAAAGTACCAAACTATTTTGTTTTAAGCTCTTTTTTGGTTTTGAAAGAAAATTTCTGTTCTTAGGGTCAAAGATGGAAAAATCCATTAAAACCCGCCATAAACCCCCATTCCCATAGTTTGATCATGCTTGTTCGCATTATTATCCTACTAATATTATAAATGAGATAGTTTGGATGTATGGATGTATGTTTGTGACAAGTGAACGCGAAAAATACTGGTCGGATTGGGCTGAAATTTGGTATGATGATAGCTCACATTCCCGATTAACATATAGACATATTCTTATTTCAAAAATCCTTTCGGGCTCCGCCCCAGTGGCTCTGGGGTTTCCCATGTTAACCTTATGAGGAATGGAATTATTGAATCTTAACAGCTGTTTCAATTAAACAAGTTGGTTCTGTTCTATGATGTTCAATAGCATTAAAGTTACAAGGATTACCAACAGGGTGCAGCACTATTATTTTTTTTACATTTATGACAACAGCTAATTATTTGCAACCAAAAGTTGAGTGAGCGTAGCAAACGAACTTCAACCTGGAGGCGAGTTAGCGTAGCGAACGAGCTAAACCTGAAGGCAAGTGAGCGCAGCAAACGAGCTCCAACCTAAAGGTGAGTGAGCGTAGCGAACGAGCTCCAACCCTAAGGTGAGTGAGCGTAGCGAACAAACTTCAACCAGGACGTGATAGAGCCATGCGAACGAGATAATCTTGAAAATTAAGAAGTTAAACGGGGCAAAGCCCGCGGGTTACAGCTAGTTATTAATAAATGTAGGTTTACAAGTACATTATTTGCCAAATATCATCTAAAACAGATCGGTTTTGCTCGATTTCGTGCTAATAACGGACGCGGATAACATTTTCGAACAGATGGTGTTTTAGCATCTGATCTGGGGACCTCAAAACGAAAAAAATGATCTCGAATCTACAAAATTGCTCTTACAGTGAAACCTACGGTGCAATTGTTTCCCTATATGGAAAATTTCGATAAAACTGTATAAGTGCTGTATTTAGTAACCTAATGTCAATTAAGAATTAAATTTAGACCTAAATAATTAAAATAAAAACCGAATTAAGCCTAAAATCACCCGCATCGGGAACTAAAAATTTGTTCCTCTGACCTCATTTTCAATTTTCGATCAAATTCTTGCATTTCTAAGGTTCAACCGAATTTTCTTCCAATTTAGTGTCACACCTCTTTCCAAAACAGCATTTTTAGTGGTTTAAATCTAGTATTAAAATGTTATCTTTTAAAATACTTAATGCAATCAAACAAAAACTTATTCTTTATTTTCAAGTTATTGCCGGACGCATTTTACCCCAGTTATAGTTGGTCAATTTTCGATCAAATTCTTGCATTTCTATGGTTCAACCGAATTTTCTGCTTCCAATTTAGTGTCACACCTCTTTCCAAAACAGCATTTTTAGTGGTTTGAATCTAGTATTAAAATTTTATCTTTTAAAATACTTAATGCATTCAAACAAAAACGTATTCTTTATTTTCAAGTTATTACCGTACGCATTTTACCCCAGTTATATTTATTATTTACCCAAATAATAATGAACGCATTGGGGGTCTATGCGATTTCGCACTGAAAAATATTGAAAAGACAATCTTTATAGCTTTGATGATGCCACAAAGATTGCTACACAGTATAAAATATAATGACAAACAGAGTAAATCCTAACCAACATTCAAAAGAGATGTTGTAGGCAGTGAAGTACAGCTTACTGATAGCATATAATTTTTTATTATTTACCTTAATTGATTACTTTTGAATGGATTCATTCATACAAAAGACTGCAGTCTTTAATACCGTCTTAATACAGTCTTTTAGAGGGTAGTAATAATATTAGATTTTTTCTTTTTACCCAAAATTAAAAACTTAATGAGCTTCAGGTAAAGGCCTTACCATAATCTAAGCATTAGGGCTATAGTTGTATATTTTTATGTGACATTTATCAGAATCGATAGTTTTTTACCACAGTAGTTGTAAAATTCGTTTTTACCTAACAATTGACTTCCAATATTTTTTTTTGAAGTAAGTTAAATACTCTCATTAGTAAGCATATTTTTTAAAACATAAAATCAAAGGTCTACAATATACTCAAAATTTTCAAGAGTGCATTGGCCCAACTTTTACACCATCCTAGGTAGCCTAAATAAGTGTTCATAGTCTGAGTTAATAAAAACGGACTAATTATCAAGTTAAGTTGTACAGTTGAATTTCGTTTATCCATTAAATGTAAGATAAATAAACCTTTTCACGGCATTTTCAACGAACCGACATAGTCTCTTCTGCATACTGGCCCATACTGGCCCCGTTGCAAGACACCAAAATCAAGTTCAGTTTCATGAAAAATGTTGTTTTTCCTTTTCCATAAATTTCCTTTTGCATTCATCGCACGCCTTGGCTGGCGAAATTCCTAAAGATGAAAATAAAAGGTAATAGACTGATTGTAGTCCAATTCCAATAACAAACTTAATTATATACACAACAATGTTCAAAAACATGTAATGCAATGAAAACAAACTGCAAAACATGTAAAAATAACACTTAAATGTTAGGCAACTGCTGTTGAAAAGTATAACCGAGGTTTGGAGGTTTCTTTTATTACTTTTAAATATTATACTACAAAAGTAAACGGCTTGTTTTCACATTATAAGATCTCAAACGTGTTATGATGTGTGGTTAATGATGTTGATAACGGAAGAGTAAGCTGAGTGATGACATGTTAATTCTTTTATTGTTTTGGGAGATTTTACGATTTGTATAAAAATTTACTCTTTGGTCACAAATTCCGGAGGCAAAACGTTAGTCAAATAAAACGGACTGCTATGTTCAAAATCTCAATTCTTAACCTGTGAAGGGTGCGCAAGACGGTTTTAGTCCACGAATTTGCCGAGTACAGCGCTTCTAGCAGTTGAAAATCGATATTGAATACTACTGATGTCAACAAAAGAAAAGTTACTATATTTAAATTATGTATAGAATGCAAATCGAATGAACTCTCTGTAAATTAAGTACCGGTATATAGTTTTCTCATGTAACATTATAAACAATAACTTCACCACAACAACATTTCTCATAAATATTTAAGTTAAAAGCAAAGTAAAAATTGCATATAAGTTACGTTACTTTATCTGAAAAGCGATTTAATAATATTCCTAATTTGAATCATTATCTCGACTCTAAAGTCATCAAGATAATAAGTTTTGTCAAGTCGACTCTTGAATGCCGTTGTGACAGAAGCCAACGAAATGACTTGAATTGTTAAAACAAGTTATCACATGTAAATAGCTTTAGGCTGTATAACTAGTGACAAAAGTGAATAATATTGATGGTTTTTTTTAACATAAGATAAACAAAGCGATGTTAAGGTCATTTATTGTTAATCAGCTGTACCGGAAGTGACCCTTGTTGACCTATCATCACCCCCCTGTGATAACCTTGAGTGCTATTTATAGAAAACCACCCCTTCACAATCCGCGTGTGACCCTGGACAGTTTCACGTTGACCTTTTGTTGCCTTTTGAACCCTAATCTTTCAAAATAATGGCCCTCATGAAGTGTTGTTTTGATTCCCAATGGGAAATGCCCGAGTTTGTAGACGAAATTGCCCAAAAATGTACAAACCCTGGATGTAAGTAAATAGTCTATGTAGTGATAGTGTATACTGTTGTGATAATTGTTAATTACAGTTCTGGCTACTTGGTTCGTTGGTTGTACCTCAACATAATAAAAAATAATAGTAGGTACGGTAATGTAAAAGATTAGATTATAACTAATTTACGCTGACATACACAATTTTTGATACCTCTCTCATAACCTCAAAGCTGTCTTTAAAATAACCTTATATAAAAAGTGATACATCAATTTTTATAAGTTTAAACTTTATTTTAATTGTACTAAATCGAAAATATGTTGGATAATAAACATAGATTTAGGGTATACTAAATAATTAGCGTTTTCCTTAATTTACTAGTAATTTAAATCAATTAAAGTTTTTCTCTACCAGTGTTTCAGTGACAAGAATAATCATTGAAATTACACTACATAATTATACTATTTATAGTTCCAAACTATTATATGGCTAGTATTAATTCCAAAGGGTGTAAGTTTATTTTATTAAGTTTTTAATGATCATAATAGTTTACAGAAGTTGATATTATTGGTATTATTACAATGGTATTTAAAACTTTGGGGGTACCTTAATGAAACAATTTTGAAATCTTTTCATCATCTTAGTTACTACCTATAAATCAAGTGGAAAAGCCTATAAATCAAGTGGAAAAAATATATATTAGAGTCGAAATTTACCTATAAATAGTTAGAGAAAACAATATATACGTGTAAATTCTTTGCAATAATGTACGTAGTACAATTTCTTTTATTCTGAAAAATAAAATGACTATAAATTACACTAATAAATTTGTTTATGATTTAATTAAAATAATTTAAACCATACTCAGGGCAATTGTCAGACAAACATGTGTATTATTGGTAAAGGTTATAATAAATAAGCTATAAATAAATTATAAATACTATTTATTCTTAAAATATTGTAATGGTATAGTAATTTTATTGTTAAAATTAATTAGTAGGTCTGATGCTCTATTGCTACCTATGTGCTAAGCAATGTATAATTACTATTTAAAATAATAACTATACATACATGTGCGTTATTGCATTGATATGTAAACAACACGTAATCTAAACTAAAGTGTATCGAATTCTGAAAACATTCCAATTTTCCTAAATTGTTGTTCTCTAAACAAATGCTGTTTGAAACTGAATATAATTTTTAGCAAGATAAACAATATCTAGAAACTTCCTTTTAAAACATGGAATTGTATAATATCTTATCATTTAAAGCTGGGGCCAATGAATTCTTGTTTACAAAGATTAAGATTCTCTTCAGAGCTAAAAATTTTGCATTTTCTCTCATAATTAGAGTAACTTGCATGGCTAATGGTTAGTGAAAGGATTTCTTTATTGCATACCTTTCCACTTGGTTGATGTTGATGTACATTTACCACAACTCCGTTCTCTGATAGTCAGTCATTTCATTTTGTAGATGCAAGTGTTTGCCTGTGATATCTACTTCTGTGATATAACTATGGCTTACAGCGCTTCTTAGATAGTGTAGTTTTCTAGTGGAAATTATTTATCGTGTGAGTTTATGGGACATGCTTTGCGTCTTTTACTGGTTTCTAGATCAGATAGAATGTAAGTGAACAATTGTTATGATTTAGTACATTCGTAACTTTACACAACTTTTATTGTCAATATAAAACCACTTACCTTGGCCTTCAATTCTGTATTTATAGAGCAAACTTAAACTTAACCTTCTCATTTCGCAATACCATTCTTTATACAAGATAAATGTTGTTTACACATTTCTCGATTCACAATGTCAAAGGCAAAACAGTTGAAAAGCAACCACAATTTAGTTTCCAAAGAGAAGTACTGTATTTGTGTAAAACACAAAAATAGTTGTATTTCCTAATTTCTTCAACGTAATTTCATGTCAAAATATTACATCTCATCTAAGTATCTTGTAACTAATTAAGTTGAGTTTAACTAAAAATAAAGGAAAAATACTGAATCACCTTTCAAAAAAAAATATTTATTTGTGTTATTTAAACCTAATAATTAAGGTTTAAATTTTTGGGTACCTAATTTTATGTGAGCTTCATTATTATACAAATCAATAATATTCTGTAATTTCAACAAAGACTAAGTTTATAATACAGTTTATAGATTTTAATAGAATGGTGATCAGAACCAAATTTTTTTTATTTTTTATTTGTTAGGTTTCTTGTATTACATTTTTCTGTCCACATTAATTCACGTGTTTTTCCATCTTTTTGTGTACATTTAAAATGGAGTTTTGCTTCATTAAATAAATAAATACAACATTAAATTATATATTTTTTATAAATTAAATTAGGACGTATAGGATGCAACTCCTGTTTAAATAGGTAATCATACAATACAGTTTATCTTTTAGTTAATTATTGACCATAAAAAATAAGTATTTACGTCTCTAAAATAATTAGTATTGTAAAAACAATAATTATACATTGCTTGGACCCCATTACATAATTTGCCTCTTAATTCATTTCCAAATGTTTGGGAAATATTGCCACTTCGTAAAATGCAATTAATTTGACGTCTCTGTTATGAAACTCCAACTTATTTTTTATTGAGAATATTTTTTTAGGATTAAAAATGCTATGAATATGAAAGTGAATATATAGGCCTATATCTAAATACTACTGTACAATTTTTTTATTTTAGTGTATGTTACTAATCTAAAAATAATCCTACTAATATTATAAATGAGAAAGTTTGGATGGATGGATGTATGGATGTATGGATGTATGTTTGTGACAAGTGAACGCGAAAAATACTGGTCGGATTGGGCTGAAATTTGGCATGATGATAGCTCACATTCCCGATTAACATATAGGCATATTCTTATTTCAAAAATCCTTTCGGGCTCCGCCCCAGTGGCTCTGGAGTTTCCCATGTTAACCTTATGAGAAATGGAATTATTGAATCTTAACAGCTGTTTCAATTTTAACAAGTTGGTTCTGTTCTGTGATGTTCAATAGCATTAAAGTTACAAAAATTACCAACAGGGTGCAGCACTATTATTTCTTTTACATTTATGACAACAGCTAATTTGCAACCAAAAGGTGAGTGAGCGTAGCGAACGAACTTCAACCTGGAGGCGAGTTAGCGTAGCGAACGAGCTAACCTGAAGGCAAGTGAGCGCAGCGAACGAGCTCCAACCTAAAGGTGAGTGAGCGTAGCGAACGAGCTCCAACCTAAAGGTGAGTGAGCGTAGCGAACAAACTTCAACCAGGACGTGATTGAGCCATGCGAACGAGATACAGTAATCTTGAAAATTAAGAAGTTAAACGGGGCAAAGCCCGCGGGTTACAGCTAGTTTATCATAAATGCCTACTCTTCTACTGTCAGACACAGTATGTAATTACGGCTTTTTACTGTAGGTATAACAAATTACCTATAAAAAATTCACACTCAGAGAACCTGATCAAAAAATATTTACAATTTGGGATCATACAAAACCTAGTTAGCAAAACTAAAATTTGACATTTCATATTTTTCAAGTTAATTTTCACAGTACTTATGTTAGAGCTTTATATGGCTTTATCGATAATTTTTTACAAACATTTTCACTTCTTTTTGGGAATCAACTACATTCTGCAAACTAACTAAGTAGATCCGTATGGAAAAAATAATAACTATTTTGGTCAAACCATACACGCAACAAGATACAAAAGAAAACATGATGATATGGATGCGTAAGAAATTTTGGTGGTGGTGGTGAACAGTGTGGTTGAAATTACAACAATTACAACATTGTGAATAAATTAATAACAATAACAACAAACAGTCTAATAATTAACAACAATAACAATCAGTGTGAATAAAGTATCAAAATGACAACATTGTGAATAAATTAATAACAATTAACAATAACAACAAACAGTGTAATAATTTACAACAATAACAATCAGTGTAAAAAATTAATAACAATAAATTTACTATACATAACAATAATAAACTATGGCAATAGGTAACAAACTATATTCAATCTGTCTTCGTGTTCAAAGAATTTGGGAACTCTGGGAATTTATTTATTGATCTCTGAGTGTAGTGGACCACCTGATTCGTCGACTGACTCACTGCACTGTCACTGTTGTTAACATAACCTAAAACAAAACTCTAGTTAGGGTCTAGGGAACTGTGCAGTAGAGTTAGTGCAGTGAATCTGACAACTTTCCGACGAGAAAAATATAAAATCGAATGCCGAACGAAAATATTATAGAGCAATAATATCAAGTAGTTTTTTATAGTGTTGATTACTGTTCTATTTCATCTTCCAAGATGTGTTGTGGTGAGTAAAATAAGTTGAAGTTAATCAAATAAATACTTTGAAGATTTTAACCACTGACTATTAGGCATAATTGTGTTTTCCATCTATTGTTTTAATGCCTTGATATTTTAAATTATTATTATGACATTAAACTCAGTTCAAAAATCTAGTGCTTATGATTGCTATAGGTATTTTAATCACAAAGGAAGGCCTTAATTTACATAGATTGGGCTAAAATGAAATTGGCCATAGGATAGGCCTAAACCAAATTTTAATCTAACAGTGTTTTATTCAATTATTAACTTACAAAGGCCTAAGGCTAGTAAAAAATAATATTTATTTTGATAATATCTACGCTAGTGGAATTTAAAAAATAAATAGGCCTAGGCTAACTAAGTTTTGAACACTTGTAAAGGGAAAAGTGGTCCATAACTAACGTACTACATGGGTACCTACCCTCCATATTCCCTCTCGCACCCAAGTCCAAGACCTATGCTAACCACTAGGATACCAACGCATCTATATTTTTTGCCTTATTTTTTATATTGCTAACTAACATCAAGAATCCAGTTTCTTAATTTCAACTACATTTAATCTGAGTAACTTTTATTCATATAAGTTAGGTATTTATTCTATTCATTTAACAGTTATAACCAATACAGTGAAAGTACATTGTTGTGCATGCAACAGTAACAAAGCAACCAAAGATCAATAGTAAATATATGTGGACGGCTGTTCAGTAAGTTAATCAACTTACCGGTAACTTACACAAGGTCTGATGCTGCCTCTATTGTATTACTTTAACTTAATTATAATCCAACTAAGTTAGCCCACCTATTCACAACTCTTCTAACAAAACCACTGAAATTAAAAAAAAAAAATAACAGAGCTGAAGTAATAATCTTGTCCATCTACTTACTAACTTAGGGGGACAAACATCCACTTCACGAGCAGGTGAATAATTATTCATACACATGTCCAATAGATATTTTGTTGGCCCAAGTTATTGAGGCCCATGCTGTAAATTTTAATTCTATCACAGATGAATTTATATCAAAACACTTGTTTTTAGGCTGTTTTAGTTGTTCCTGCATGCGACCACGATACAAGAGGCTGGTTGATAACATTTTCCCGCCAATACCTCAGGTAATTTATAAATCATGTCAGTCATTTTTAACCCTAATTTCTCTTATTTTAAAGCTGTTAACTGGTTTAAAAATAATTTTAAAAATACTTTAAATCGAAGCAAAGGTTTTTTTTAATCACAATTTTGTCAAAATTTTTTTTTGTTTAATCACAAACTTTGTCGTTGTTTGTGACATAATCACTTGATTTTAGAAAATTCCAGGCAACATTGATAACAACGCCATCGTTCGCCATTGTTGGCCTTGCTGATATTTGTAAAATCATTACTATAGAGTCTTTAACGTTCTCGGTGTTTTTGCTGAAATGCCCAACAGCACATCAATAGGCTACTGCTAACTTTGCCGATATTGCCAGCTTTGTGTCAATATTTCTTGCTCCTTCAATGTTTGCAGCAACATTGCAAGATTTTACAACATCACTAGCTTTGACAATGTTCCTGTTTACATATTTATACTAGGGTCCACGAGAGTCTGCAGTTGGCGTCAGCCTATCACAAGACAGGGCTAGTGCGACGTTGCCATATCGCCTGTTGACGACACTAATTAAAATTATATACTAAACAATATTTTCAAATCAGCTGGTATTATTCGATTTGGCAACAACACGCAATCCTCATTGGCTCCTTCAAAGTCACATCCCCCCCCTGCATGCTCCCTCAACTGCATACTCTCGTGGACCGTACTGTAGTTTTGTAGGCTATTTAAAACTAAAAAAAAAAAATTGAACTTAAATTTGTAATAGGCGGATTTTCTAAATAAGTTAGCAGGTTTAGCAATTAGTGGGACTCTACCCTAAAAAAAAAACATTGAGTTCATTCAGTAATAATATCCGAACAGTACTATATAACTGAAAGACTTATTTGTTCAAAACGCCATAAACAAAGGTTGGTATCTGGAGTATCTGAAAGGGATCTATTGAAGCTAATCGGAAACTAGAGTATGTATTCAGAAATGTTCTTGTTACTTTAATTGTCACTATGTATTTGATTTGCAGGATGGGTTAGTGAAAAACAACATGGAGAAGTTGACATTTTATTCACTCTCTTCTCCTGAAAAACTAGACCGCATTGGTGAATACTTATACCAGAGAGCTTGCAGAGACCTGTCCAGGAAAAGAACTGGGTGAGTCTTCTCACACCATTGTCCATTGGGTTTTATGTTCTCACTATTGAATAAACGTTGGTTTATTCAGTGATGTAATTAATTATGTTTATTCTAAACATGTTTTCCCCTTACCTCATGAACCTAAAAAATCATAACTATTTTAAAAAAGTTAAAAGTTTATGGTGGACACACACAGTAAAAATTGAATTAAAAGTTGCATGATGAAGTTCAGTTCAGTTGCATGGTGAAGTTGAGTTGATGAAGGTTCACAAACCTTTTCGTCACCATTGGCACTGAAAACCCTCTATTGTCACCTCGTCAGATCACACTTAGAATACTGCTTAGTAGTGTGGTCTCCCTACCAACACTATCTTCAGGAAAGACTCCAGTCAATACAAACTCGGTTTATCCGCCTAGTGAGTCTTCGCCTTGGATACCGCTAGGCAGATGTTCCAGTGTGCGCCTTGGCAGCTGTCTTGAATCTTCCTACACTGAAGGAAGGAAAATCTTTGATCTGATGTTCCTACATAGACTGGTCAACGGAGAGATACTCTGCCCGGAGTTGCTTGAGCGGATTAGTTTCCACGTCCCAGGAGGGGGTACCAGATCGAGGGAGCTGTTTGCTAGGTCCCACCATGCTACGCTCTACAAACAGCACAGTGTCATCGTTCGCATACAAGCCCTGGGAAACTCTCTGCCGCCTGATATTGATTTCTTGAACAGTGGCACCACTGGTTTCAGAAGATTGATCAGCTCCCTTCCACTTGGTCAGTGAAGATGACATATCTGCTTCAAGACTATAAGACAAGTCTAATCTCTTATTAAATTTGTTAAATCCTTTTTATGTTTTGTTGGCCTCGTTGCTCTTTATTGTTATCTTCGTCCTTATTGTTACTTCATTGTTATTCCTTTTGTTATTGTTATTACTGTTTGCACTTTTGTTATTAGTCATCACTCATCAACTCAATAGTTGTATCACAAAAATTGTATTCTGTATGTAATGGTTGGTCCGTCAATAAATAAATAAATTATGTCTGATTTGAGGTAAAATGGTGCAACTCCCAAAGGATTCACCCTAGCCATCCCTCGTTAATGTTGTACTATGGGCCTCTCCCATCAACTTCTCCCACAGACAAGTGCATGAGTTGAAAATAAGACTAGAGAAGGTATTCGAACCCTCAACCTAGGGTTCTGGAGAGAGATCGATCAGACCTAAGGGTCTAACGTGCTTACATCCATGGTCAACCAAACACCCAAGCTTAGCAGTTTTAACACGTTCGCTGCGGCACGTCAAATAGCGGGCGTATCCCCAGTGCTGCGCAGCCCTCAGCGTCGAACAAACCCAATTGCCGCGTGTGATTGGCTTTCCAATTTTGGTCTGACGAATAGCAAATAATGTGCGGGGATATCCTGCTTTACAACAAGAGTCGACGTAGTTCGCTAAACACCCACAGATAGCAGCACTGCTTGGAACGTAGCCGGTCCCATTGGAATTGTATTGCCAAATTGAGGGAAAAAGACGGGACAAAAAGTAGATTTTTGAGATTGCCAGACAGGGATTTTACGGGGAAATTTACTATCAACCTACACCACAACAAAATGCAAGTCACATACTACACGCTAACGTGGTATAGGTCCGCTTTCGGCCGACGCTAGAGCAAAAAGGAAGATATGCAAAAAGCATTGCGGAGCGTTCTCGATGGGGTACGGACGCACCGTACGGGGGCCAAGCGCTGTACCCGATCGGGAACGGCCGCATTCTACGTGTTAAACTTGACTCTCAATATAACTTAAGTTGCAGCACGTGTTACGTATATTTGTTAACTTATTCTTGCTTATTTGCAAGGGTAAGTTGGGTTATGCTAATCTGGCCATTATTAATTGGGCCTTTGGAGCTCAAAGTGTTCAAATACTTTACTTTTACCGCTAATTACAGATTTTGAGATTTTATGAAGGATGCAACTAATATTTTTAAAGTCACTCAAAATACATGGGTACAAAATGTAAACTTTGTTTCTCGAATGCCGTAATCCGTTTTTGTAGTTATTATTTTATTACTCTTGTGTGCCCTCAGGTTTGTGGTAATTGCAATGGAAGCTATGGATCAGTTGTTGGTCGCTTGTCACGCACAGACACTGAATCTGTTTGTGGAGAGTTTTCTGCGAATCGTACAAAAACTTTTGGAATCCATGGAACCTGAACTGCAGATTCTGGCAACGCAGTCGGTAAGTTGGATCTGGTAACTGGCCAGATATAAAAAAAAATCACAACTATATTAAACATATTTGGGGTTTTTTAGGGGTGATTTAAAAAATGGTTACAGCATCTTTGTTTTTCTTTTTTGACTGATAACTGTTCAATATTAGTTTAAAATATGATTTAAATCCATTATCCAATTTCAAACGTTTCCACAAATGATACAAAATACAAAGGATGTCACTCTCATGTTTTACTCCTATTTGTTCTACATGTATTTATTAATCTTGATAACTAGCAACAGACAAATTCTTTCTATTAATCATATCCTTTCTTGTGTTTCGAAATTGGAGTCGATACGATCAGATTTTACCTGTGCTTCGGTTGATCCATAGTTTTAAGATTTACAGTAGCAGATTTTCATTTATTTATTTCTACAGTAAACAGCAATTTTACAATATGTATATCAAAACCAGATGGTTTACACAAGTATGAATACAAGGATTGTAGTACATGGCCCAAGATGACATTTACAAAAAGACTTAAAAAAAGATATGATTGCAAATTACATTGATAGATTTTGACTCATTACAAAATAATCATAAGATAAATATTAATTTTCGCCTTCCAAAAGAAATTTGGAACCTACAACAGTTTAATGCACTTTTAAATAATTTGTTATCAGTTTGTGAGGTTTGCCAACATAGAAGAGGACACCCCTTCTTACCATCGCAGATATGATTTTTTCGTCTCCAAGTTCTCATCAATGTGCCACAGTAACCATGCAGACCCAAATGTTAGGGACAGCATTCGGCTCGCAGGCATCAAGGGACTGCAGGTATTGCTAAGTTACCGTCCAGCCTCGGTATAACAAATCTGAAGGGAGCGAACTGAATATTCGTTATATCATGGATTTCTTTAAAACGAGGTTTGTTATATTGAGGTTAGGTTTGTAGGAATTTGGCTAAGTCGAGGAAGACGCAGACAATTCGTTTGGTAGAGGTTAAATTCGCTATGTAGAGGTTCTGACAATGATAAATTTGTTATATTGTGTCTTTTTTTATCCGGGATCATGAAAAATTTGTTAAATCAAGGTCATTGATATGGTTTGTGCGTTATGTAGAGGTAAAATGTGCGTTGTATCTTATGGAGAGTTCTATTGTATAAAAAAAAAATTATGTCAAGGTATTCGTTATATTGAGGTTTGTTATATGAAGGTTAGACTCTACTATTTATTATACTCGCTCTAGTTTATAAATTACATTGTTCTGAAATCTTTCCATTTCCTTCAGACTATTTTAGCTCTTTTGAAACCATCCTCATGTTTTGGGACAATCTATAGAGAAAACTGATTAGGAGATGCTTAGGCCTACAATGTAGCCTACTAATGTAGTGGCAGTGATAAGGCCTCTGCAGATATTTTACAACAGGTGTCCATAATAACAAGAGAGAATTTTACGTGATTGTAAACATTATTTTAACCTTAAAGATGGCATTCTTGTTACACATTTGGTAATGTACTGTTGCAATAAATTCGGGTAAGATAGCAAACTTACCGGAATGAGAGAAAATCTGATCTGGCCCAAGATATACAACAACTTCACACTGTGACCAACAACTTTAATACTTCTGCATTGACAGCATTTTCAACCGGGACGAGAGATAACTTCAGTTCCAACTGTGGCCAGGAAGTTTTTTTAACAGTGTTGCAAACATTTACACATTTTACAGAATATTACGATAACACATTTGGTTGACAATGTTGTCAATTACAAAGGAATGATTCTAGTGTTTTTGTATGGTGTAAGTTGTTTGTATATCTTGTGCCAGATTGGACTCTATCCCACCCTGGTTTTTTATGTCTCACCTTCAAATCTTGGGATGTCGCTTTAGCCCGGAACCATTTTACAGGTATACTTCAGGCTAGGCCTAAAAGGGTTGTTGTGCTATTACTATAATAAAATCTGTTGAGTTTTTACCTGTAAACTCGGAGACCAAAATCCCACACTACCATAAGACCAGCGTGCTATATCCATTCGGTTAGCCTGCTATAAAAAAGTCCTTGGGAGAGTATGATTAATCTATGATGGTAATTTTATAATGTACAGTATCCAGGTTTAAAAAAATGCAATTGGAATAAAAACTGAGAAGTTTGATGATTTTTTTTTCAAATGGTACTAAATTAAAGAAGATTTCTTGCTGTTTAGGGTGTGATCAGGAAAACTGTCTCAGATGACCTGGTAGAAAACATCTGGGAGGCCCAACATATGGATAAGATTGTTCCATCTCTTCTCTACAATATGCAGGATTCAAGGTAGCCTACATAGAAGAAGTGGTGATGTATTTAACTTTGACTAATTGGTTATAACAGTCTAGTTGTCGTTTTTCTATCTTTTTTAAATAATTTTAACCATTCTAGAGTTATTAAACATATTGTATTTGCTAATCAGCAAATAAGTAGTCCTAGTACATTTCTAATGTGAATCAAATTCTGACCGAGTAAATTTGTTCATGTTTTTATTAGGGAGACAAAACAACTTATACAGCTAGAGTACAGGCCACGAGAGTCTGCAGTTGACAGGCTAGCGCGAGGTTGCAAAATCACCCGGTGACTTTACCACTCGGCCACCATCGTGGGCCATGGCGACACTAATTAAAATATACTTATCAATTTCAAATCAGTCGGTATTAATTTCCAGCGTGGAAACAAATTTGTCAAACTAAAAATTATAGAAATAATCATAGCAAAGTTTGATAGCATGGTACTTTAACGATTTTAATGTAAACATTTATTAATAAATTATTAGATTTCGCAACAACAATTGGTCCTCGTTGGCTTCATAGAAGTTACGTGTTAAATAGGCTTTTCCCTCAACTGCACTCTCTGATGGTCCATATTGTAGTATGGTGAGGGATTATTGTGTTCACCTGGTAACTGAAATGTTGTTGGTTTCATCGTGAAAACCCTCAGTAGCTTTATGATTGTTTTAAACTAGGCCCAGTTGTCATTAGGCTTTTGATACATGTCACAGGAAAGCTGAGGAGGCTGATTTTAGTCAGGTACGCAGTTGCACAGATCACCTCACTCATGTTACAATGTTTTCATAATCAGCTTAAAATACACACCTAGAGTAGCATTGATGTCTTAAAAGTAATTAATAGATAAATAATGTATGAAGACTATGAAGCCTTGTAAGCCTGCAAATGTTAAGTTTTTTTTCGTTTGTTAGGTACTTGGAGAGAGAGGCCAACAGTCCTGAGCCAGAAGAGGAGAAGAACTCGCCTCCGTCGCTGGCCGAGACATGCATCCGAGAATTAGTGGGTCGAGCATCCTTCGGCCACGTCAGATGTGTCCTCAAACCTGTCCTCAAGTGAGTCAAACTGTTGAAAGGACAAAAATAATATAATTATTGTTTTCAGGATATTGACATAGACATGTAATCTGTATTGACCAGCTGTAGCCTGTATTTTACTCAAAGATTGAATGAGCTAGCATAGAGTGTGCTACTGTCAAAATTATATTTTTCTCTTAGTTTTGGATACTTTGATCATTTATGTGACACAAAATATGCCATAGTTTTTATTAACCCTCCGAGTGTCCATAGTTTATTTAGGCCTTAATGTCCACCTATTTTTGGCGCATTTGCAAGGTTTTATTAAAACGGATCTGAGAAGCTTAAAACAATGTTAATTCTAATGTTCTATATACCATTTTGTTTGGAAAATCATGGGCTTCAATATTATATATAAAACATAAGGAACATTAAAAAAAAAAAATTTTAGGTAAAAAAAATATAATTTTCAAAATTTTCAAAAAAAAAATAAGTTCGCGCTCAATGAAATTGTATAAATTATAGGCCTATAAATATTTGAAAATAGCCACTTTGTTCTAAATTTTATGAGGATTACAAATATATAATAATATAAGGAAGTAGATTTGCAAATAAATAAGTTATGGGCAAAAAACTGATTTCAGTTATAGCGTTTAGCTAAGAATGCATAGCCTAACCATAGCTAGGAATCTGGCTGATAATTTACATCAATATCACTACCTACTTCTTCAGGATCATCAACCAGCACTTCAAACCACTTAAATCTTCTTATAATGCACCACGTATATCACTACTTTTGATTTTTAACACTAAAAAAATTATAAACGTAATAAAACACATCAGTTATCGGTCCGGGGGAACCTAGCTGTTTACAAATACACGCACGTCAGCTGTCTGCTACAATATTTTCGGAACTAAAATGAATAGCACTTAGAGACAGACCTCTGGAGAAAGCTTAGAATATTACGGAAAGAACGATACCTAACTCGATCCAGTTCAATCCGATTCAGTCAGTCATAGAGCCTTCGCCGTAAACGATGTTTGTGCGTCTTAAACTAGACGCGTGACCCTACACAAAGTGTGTTGTGCGTCGATTTTTTGACGCGTGACCCTCGGAGGGTTAAGATGTCGTTTCGGTTCAGCTTGGGTTGTGTACCACAAATATTAGTAATTGACAGCAGTGCACTCTGTTGGTGGCTTATTTCAACTATGTTAATTAGTATTCTCAAATTTGACGAATCTTTAAAATGGGAGTGGGATGTCTACTTAGGCCTATCTCAATAGTCAAATGTGATATGAATCGCAATTCAATTCACAATGTTAAATTGTATAGTCCTGTATACATAAATGTAAATACAACTTGATTTTGCTAGCACAGTGAACTCGACCCCAGTCATCAAACCAGGAAGGTGTATCAAAACATTATATATCTAAAAAATATCACTGAGCTGTTATTGGAAAATGGTACACTTATTCAATATTTGGACTCAAATTCACAACCCCAAAAAGACCCAAAAGTTTGCCAGCTAATTTATGTCAACTCGACCACTGATTTTTATGTTTACTTAGCCACTGACTTGACATACAACATAAAACTGATTTTACTTACCTGTGAGGTCTCACATAAGCTTGTTCAATGTCAGCAATATGTTTAATTGTGTTTACTGTATTGCTTGCAGACACTTAGACCATCATGATCTGTGGGTTCCTAACCAGTTTGCCATCCACACTTTCAGAATCATCATGTTTTCTATTCAGGTAAGATGATGAAACTATTTGTGTGCAGCAAGACCAAAACTAAAATAAAAACCTTACAAAAAATTTGGTTTTGTGAATCAATTGGTAAATCTTAAAAATCAAAACTCAGAAGTTGAAAAATAGTTTCTGTCATTATTGTTTTTTTTTTAGAAATCTCCCTTTTGTTTCTAAAATGTGAAGGCCCGAGCCTTCTATCATAGACTGTCCCAGGAATCATAAGGAAATCATAAGGAATCTCAGATAAACATAATTAATTTCTTCCTTGTTTCCCTCTAAACAATTGTGTGTCAGTCATTAATGACTTTAAAAGACAACTAATTGCAATTTTTTTTGTTATTTTACTACTCCAAAAATTATAGAGACAAAATAGTACTCACACTATTAAATCTTAAGCTAAATTTAAAGCATTTTGAAACAATATTTTAACATTCTGTAAGATTTTTAAATAAGTTTAACATGAAACTAATCTTGCAAATACATTCACATACTACCATACTGTTTTAATCAAATTGCTTAATTTTTTGTAACCATAACCAGACCAGTAAATTGAGTTTTGTAATTTGGTTTTTCAAGTTTTGATTTTGTACATGGTTTTAAGCTCCAACATTTCTAATCTGACAATTAATTACTATTAGTTATTATTAATTGAATTTATAGTACCGTACACTATAGTATTTTGTATTTAATTAGTCTCACATTATGTACATATTCAAAATAACTAGGGTCAACTTGAATCTTTCTTTGTACAATAAAAGAATTCAAAGTGAAAATCTTCGCTAATATAGGAAGGAAACACTGTAGCTTGAATTTCTCTCAAGCTGTTAGATATTGTCTATGTAATGTTGAATGTTGAATTTCTTTAAGTTGTCATGAAGATTTATTTATTACTATTCTAATCTCACACTTTTGACCTTTCATATCTACCTTCCTCTTCCTCTCACAAACAAATTAAAAAAGACTCAATCTCAATATCATTCACAAAATGAATCATTGAGTGCCACAAACCTCATAAGTGATAGATTGACTAACAGACTTTTCCATTCCATTTTAAAGTGTTCAGGTAAATGTTTTTTTGTGCCCTTGATTTGCAGACTGTGGCAAAATAATTAGAATGAATTTATTGGTTAGGGAGTTCATATTTCTTGAATTTCTTTCAGCAAGGCAGTAATTTAACTTTAGTTTATACCCAATACTTTCCTGGCCTTAACAAAGTTAATAATGTTTTAAGAGTGGCACCTAATATTCTTTCAAATTCACCTCTGACCCATAATTTGTTTTCCAAACCCCCAAGACTAATATACAAAAAAAGCTCCTAACTTGAAATTCATTCTTTCAAAACCCAAACTACCTCCCACTTCCCAACCATCAGCAAAACCTTCGGGCTGTAATCAATGCAACAAACCACGATGTGCCACTTGCAAATTAATCATCCCATCAAAAACTTTCACAAGCAGGCAAACAAAAAGATGTTATAACATAAATAGTAACATCACCTGTGAGTCTACTAATGTAATTTACCAAATTTCCTGCAAAAAATTGTCCTAAAGACTACATTGGCAAAACCACAAATGCTCTTAGAGTTCGTATGAATGGCCACAGATATGATGTAAACCATCCTGATAAACAAAAACCTGTGGCTATTCATGCAAGAGAGCATTCTCAAAATTTTCAACAATGTTATTCATTAAAAGGAATAAGAAAATTGGCAAAAGACGCATCAGACTTAAAATTGAGACAGCTTGAGCAAGCTCATCAATTAACCTCTTGAATCCCAAGTATTGGCATAGCCAGGACTTCCCCCCAGCCCGGGTTTTTTTTTGCGAATTTGCAGACATTTAGAAAAAAAATTGTATACAATCTAATTATGAAGTAAACATAGTCATATATGGATTTATTTTGTTCAGAAAGAACAGGAGAAGCTGAAAATAGTATAAAAAGTAAAAAAAAATCATTTTAATTTTTTTAAATGTAAGATAACATAAAAAAATGTAAATTTTTTCCTAGAAATTTCAAAAGCAGAGTTACGGTAAAATTTTAAAAACAATTTTCCTCTAAATCCAATATATACTCATTGTAGGAAATTCAATTCCCTACATGGAAATATTTAAAAAAAAAACAATCTATAACATATACATGAATTATGTCAAAAAATGTAGTATGACGTAAAATTTGAAATTGCAGATTTTTGCGCCATTCTGTAACATTTATGAGATATACAATATAATGTTATTTTTAAGTGCAACTTTAAAATTTATCAATGTATGTATACTGTAACATGTTTTATATGAGTATATATAATTATATATATATATATATATGTGTGTGTATATACATATGTATGTGTATATACTACATGTATAAGGCAAGTCAGAAAATATGGAAAATAAATCGTTGTACCTTTATAGTAATAACAGGTAAATAATTACATTTTACTGTACCAAAATACAAATTTATTTAGGCAATTGAGTAAAAAACATTACAATTTATTGGTCAAAATAAAAAGATAAATTCTATTTACAAGCCAGAATTGAAAAAGATTATGAAAGTCTAACGTATCATACAACTTGTCAAAATGAAAAATGAAAATATATTACTAGACAAACTGACAAAATATGAAATTGTAAAACCAGATAGGCCTACTATAAATTAGGCTAGTCAAAAATAAATATATTTTCAAGTCAGAATTTACACAGATTATGAAATTCCAATCAAATGGTCAAAACAGTCAAAATAAAAAAATCTAATCCATTTACAAGTCAAAATTCACAAAGATTATAAAAATTTAAAACATATCCCACAAGTTATCAAAATGAAAAATGAAAATATATTTACAATACAAAACTGACAAAGATTATGAAATTCTAAAACCAGATAGGCCTACTATAAATTAGGCTAGTCAAAAATAAATATATTTTCAAGTCAGAATTTACACAGATTATGAAATTCCAATCAGATGGTCAAAACAGTCAAAATAAAAAAAATAAATCTATTTACAAGTCAAAATTCACAAAGATTATAAAAATTTAAAACATATCCTACAAGTTATCAAAATGAAAAATGAAAATATATTTACAATACAAAACTGACAAAGATTATGAAAGTCTACAACCAGATAGGCCTACTACAAATAGGCTAGTCAAAAATAAAAATATCAAATATATTTACATGTCAAAATGCACAAAGATTATGACATTCAAAACAGATCCTAATAGTCAAAACAATCTAGGGTAGCCTATTTACAATTCAGAATTGTCGAAGAGTATGAAAGTCTTTCATGCAGGGGCTGATGCAGAGTGGGACATCGCCGCATGGAACGCACATGTAATATGTGTCTGTCCTCTTTGAAGGTTTCCTCTTTGTGTAGCGACACACATGACATTTCCTCCGGGGCCGTGGGTTGCTAGGGATGGCAGGAATTGGCTCTAGAAAATGTCGCTGAGTCAGGCGCAGAGGTGTTTCACCGGGAGAAGGTCGACCGCCAAGTGGGTGGGTTCTCGCAGGGCAGTAGATCTCCAATATGTCCCTTACCAATTCTTTTCTGAAATCTGACAGGTGGGAATTCCTTCCAGTCTTCATTTTCTTAAGAATATGGGAATTCCTAATGGCTACGTCGAGAAGATGGAAAAATAGCTTCTTATACCATTTTATGGTTTTCCTGGCTGTCACATTGAACGATAACTCCATATCACCTACGTCAACTGCTCCCATATTAGCATTATAGTCTAAAATGCTCTTCGGTTTTTTAATTTTCTGTCCGGTTTCCCAGTTAGTTTTACCACTTTCCGCAATTTCAGACTGGTGCATGGTTGTCAACATCCTGACCTCCCTCTTATCCTGCCATCTCTCATACATCATTATGTCTGTATGGTGAACATCGACATCACCTACTTGTGGTATCCGCGGTAGCTTTTTGGGCAAGCCCTGCCTGTCTGGCAGCACGGTACCACACATGTTTACATTATGTTTAAATAGCTCCATTGCTAGACACGGACTTACATACCAATTGTCTAGGTAAACTTTGTGGCCTAAACCAAAGAAGGGTTCTAAAAGGGTTAGGACCACTTGTCCCGTGATGCCTATGCCCTCTAATCCGGAGAAACCTAGATTTGTCTCTGCTCCAACATATGGCAAAATGTGAAGCACTAGGCTCGTGTCACAGTCCGATAGAACGAATAGTTTTATGCCAAACCTTGCCCTTTTTTTGGGTATATATTGTCTGAAAGATAGTTTACCTTTGTATAAAAACAAAGTCTCGTCAATGGCAAGTTTTTCAAACGGTGTGATTTTATCAGTCATTTGTTTGTTCAGGGAGCACAGAATTGGGTTTATCTTATGTAATCTGCCAAGAAGTCGAGGGTTGGGGACAACCGAATTGTTGAAATGTAGCATTCGAAGTATGGCTTGAAATCTATTCCTGCTCATAACTTCCCTGAAGATTTTGGTTTCAATTAATTTATCAGTGGACCAATAGTCCCTAATTTCATTTTTCCTGACATGTGACATTAGAACACACAATGCCAAAAAACATAGCATTTCATGTTCATCGACTGGTTTCCATGTATTTAGTTCATTTAGAGAAACGTTTTCTAGGTGAGAAACCACTTCATTGAAATACAGATTCGTTTGTTCTACAATGTGGGAAACCAGATCGAGTGGAAACATTTCGAGGAAAAATTCCAAATTACTTGAAGTTTCAGTCAAATCCACATTAGGATTTATTCCACTGTTGGAGTCGTCAAAATCAAATATTTGAGGGGTAAAATCCGTGTCATGAAGCCAAGGAAAGGTTACTTTTGGTTTTTGAACCCTCCTCCTTTTCGTAGGCCTAGGTCTTGGGTCATTACTTGTATCAACAACAATAGGCCTACCTGTATTTGAAGCATCACCACTAGGCCCAGGAATTACAACAATTGGGGTTTGTATATTGTCTGTAAGATCGGTAATGGTGGTTTCAGCAGTAATACTCACTGGAGAATCTGCTCGTGTTTCGTCAAAAACATCTTGTGGCGAATCTGCTCGTGTTTCATCAAAAACGTCTTGTAACACTAAAACTTCATCGTCACTCAACCTCAAGTCATCTTCACCAATGTCAAAATCCACTCCCGACACATCACTAAGATTTTCATTGTCTAAATATTCACTTATTTCGTTTTCACGAAGTGATCGCGATGTACCCGAACCACTCGCCATTGTAAATAAACAAACATACAATACTACGCAACGCAACAGGTGATCGGTAAAATGCGAGTACTACAAACACAGCTGCTGTTTATCGATCGCTGCAGGGATGCCGGTACAGCTAGCGCAAAACAAAATATACCACTCGAAAGGCCAGATTTCCCCGAACAGAACGGTATCAAACACAATATACTTCTTCTTCTTACATCGATGTAGAAAGCGCGGCAAATTTAAACTGTGCCACGGACGCGGCGGCGCGTCGCTGGGCCGGTAACGGGGCTAGTGCACGGACGCGCGGGCGCGTCGATGGGATTCAACAGGTTAATACTTGTATCTAAAACACATTCTGGTCTAAATTTGAGATAGTATTTTCTTTCTTTCTTTCTATCAACATTTTCATTTTTACTTCTTCATAAATTATTATGTATTTTGGATTTTTGCTTAAACCATCTGATTCAGAGTGGTAAACACTTCTATTTGTTATTGTTTGTTTGTTCCTGAAGAAGGCTAATGCCGAAATATAGAACTTTTTTAAAAAGTGTGTGTGTTAAGATTATTTTGGAAAATTAACTTCAGTTTAGTAATGTAAGGTAAGTTATGTGTTTATGGGTACAACATTTTGCCAATTGGAAATCACTAACTTTTGAAACTGTTTTGTGCATTTTTCTATAAAAAATTCAAAAGTCCTGTTTGTAATCAATTAGCTAATCATTATTTTTAACCCTCCCAGTGTTACTTGACGAAAATTCGACAAGCAGCACACTTTGTGTAGTGTTACTTGTCGATTTTTCGACACGCAGACATCGTTTACGGCGAAGGCTCTATGACTGACTGAATCGGATTGAACTGGATCGAGTTAGGTATCGTTCTTTCCGTAATATTCTAAGCTTTCTCCAGAGGTCTGTCTCAGCGCTGTACGTTCTCTGAACCGATCGTAATTGTAGCAGACAGCTGCTGACGTGCGTGTATTTGTAAACAGCTAGGTTACCCTCGGACCGATGACTGATGTGTTTTATTACGTTTATCATTGTTTTAGTGTTAAAAATCAAAAGTAGTGATATACGTGTTGCATTATAAGAAGATTTAAGTAGTTTTGAAGTGCTGGTTGATGATCCTGAAGAAGTAGGTAGTGATATTGATGTAAATTATCAGCCAGATTCCTAGCTATGGTTAGGCTATGCATTCTTAGCTAAACGCTATGTACTGAAATCTGTTTTTTGCCCATAACTTATTTATTTGCAAATCTACTTCCTTATATTATTATATATTTGTAATCCTCATAAAATTTAGAACAAAGTGGCTATTTTCAAATATTTATAGGCCTATAATTTATACAATTTCATTGAGCGCGAACTTATTTTTTTTGTGAAAATTTTCGAAATTATATTTTTTTACCTAAAAATTTTTTTTTTGAAAAAAATGTTCCTTGTGTTTTATATATAATATCGAAGCCCATGATTTTCCAAACAAAATGGTATATAGAACATTAGAATTAACATTGTTTTAAGCTTCTCAGATCCGTTTTAATAAAACCTTGCAAATGCGCCAAAAAAAGGTGGACATTAAGGCCTAAACTATGGACACTTGGAGGGTTAATTAGGTTATCATTTTGAAACAATAAACTCTATGTGTTCATTGAAATTCCAATCCATATTCCAATATTGAACAAAGGCTGTGAGCTATAACAATAAACTTAAGATGTTTATTTTTAATTAGTTTGAGAGTTGAGCACCAGTTTTACAAAACACACTTTGTCCCACAGTCACAATACTCGTATGCTGTCGTGGAGAGCTTGATGAATCATCTGGATGAAAACTCCAAGTCCAGTCCTAAGATACGCACCAGCATAGCCGATGTTCTGTCCAAGATCATTGCCATAGCTGCTGAGGAGAGTGTTGGTACGTTATACTTGACCACTAGGATCAATGGCCAAATACTTCATTGGAGGGGTGTTTATTAATGTGTTTAAAGGTTAAAGGTTTGACTGTTTTTTTAAGTTGACATCCAATTCATATGTTACGGTGAAAGTTTAAAGCCAGTTTTGTAGTGAAAATGAACAAATTTGAATTATTGAGCCATTGACAGAGTGTGTAATGTCAATTATGCCAACTTTTTTAACCAATCCAAACTGGAAAGACTACATATTGTAAACCATGGTGTAAGTTCATGTCTTGTAAACTATCATAGCATCAAAAACTTAAAAATCAAATCAAATCTTTACACCAGCACACACTGTGAATGGTGTATTAAACTATGTTCTTTTTGAGTAAAACAATGTGTATACAGTCCATGTATAGATGAGATGTTTACTTCAGTATGAATGATACAATACAAATTAAGTGTGTGTAGGACTTTCCTCATTGAAGATCGACATAACTTAAATAGGTATAGAGTTAGCTTACCTGAGAAAATTAGGGGCTAATTGACACTCGATAAGATAAAACACCGATTTTTACTTTGTCCTGGTGTTGTACTACTCATAGAGTAGTTTGAAGAAAAATGCCATTTCGGTTTTATCGTATTCATTTTAATACAATTTCTAACCAGCCAAATGACTTTCCTTTCAATTATATAACTTAAATATTGATTCCAATTTTTTCATGTTCAATTGCATGTGCAAAGTCGATAAATGAAGATCCTATTCAAGATCCATCCAATCCCTTGCATATATGAGTCACTCAAGCAACGTGATTAGTTGTATTCCAATTTTTGTAGTTTATTTTCTCTTAAGACAATACATTCCCACCACATAGGTCCGTCAGTGCTAGAGATCATCAACTCACTGTTGACACACCTGAAGGGCAGTGTAGGCCGTGAGAGGGGAAGTGGAGGGGAGGAGAGGCAGTATCAGGACGCTCTCATCAACGCACTTGGAGAGTTTGCGGCTCACTTGCCAGACTACCAGAAAATAGAAATCATGATGTTCATTATGAGCAAGGTATATTAATCCTTCTTGTGCTTCATATTTTAAGTGGATTTTTGGTGATGTTTATGTTATTTGAAAGATTTTTTACGCACTTTTTCATCATGATCGGTAAAATCTGTGTTTCACTACGTTTTGGGATCTGGTATCAGATCTTGTCTTCAGATGAGAAAGTGATAGGTACCAAAAACATAACAATCATAGCATAAGTTGGAAACCCACCAAAAACACATAAAGAAATCTATTATAGACAAATCAAGAAACAAACAACTCTGAAAGAAAACAATTAGTACAAATAGAGGGTCACAATAGACACATCTGCATAAGATGGTGGGTCTCAAGCATATTTTATAATTGATTTTTAAAGGATAGCTTGATGGCAAGTAGCGGCACCTGTTAGTTGATATTAAAGGTATTGAGGTTTTTTTCATTGGGGGTTTTCAATGGATTAAATTGTAGCTGTTTCAGTTGCTTCTAAGTGTACACCTAAGTGCTATGATCATATTAAGTCTTTTTTGTTGTTGTTATAATGAAATTATCTTTAGTCCATCTATCAATTTTTGCAGTAGTCTACAGTTAATGGAAATGGCAAGTTGTTAAGTAGAGATTGACTACTACCATCTTGTTTTGTTGATACTACTGTGACATTACAGGTGCCATTTATCGCAGAGAACACGAGAGGCAGAGGTGACGCTTTACTACAACAGATGCTACTCAAGTCCCTACTTACGGTAACTATTGACTTTATTCAGAAAATGTTGAATGCCAGAGACAAAGAAATAACAGTCAGTATTAGAAACTAATGACTTTGAATGATACCAGTCTAGACTTGTCATCCAATATGTTAAATTATTTTTTTACATTTATTGTGTTTGAGTGTGCTTTTGTTGACTAAATGTCTATCTCTTGTCTTAGGCAAGATTTTTCAACTTTTTTTTACTACTATTTAGTAACAATGCCAGAGGAAAAGCAAGAAATTCAATACACCAGAGCCCTGCTAATCGGAGGACCAGATTTTGTTCAGATGCATGGAAAACAAAAAACATTAAGTATATTTATGGCTGAAAACAGACATAGGCTACAGTTGAACGCCTCACATCTGACCTAGGCATAAATGACTCCTTGAGATATCGATCTTAGCGTCCTACCGCCTACTTGTTTCCTGCTGTGATCGTGAAGGACATTCTCGATTTTTTCGTGACTGCTGAAAATGTTCACGTATCCTTGACTACAGACGAGGCTATTGATTTCGCTTTGACCGCACAAGATGTCTTCGATTTTAACGTGACCGTGGCAAACGATCGGGAGTTTGCAACGAACGCTGAATTTGTTCTTGATCTCACCGTGACTGCAGAAGGTGTTCTTGGTCTTACCATGACCGCAGAAGATGTTTGTGATTTTACTGTGACTGTGGAAAGTGTTTACAATTTTGCTGTGACCTCGGAAAATGTTCTCAATTTTCCTGCTACCACAGACTATGTTTCCACAGTCAACTTTTTCATGCACTAATGGAGTTTCATGAGCGTTTAGGCAAGCACGTTGCTGGGTGTTAAACCCATCTTAAATCCATATTACAACAAAATTGCACTAAAATCAGGTTTTCCCTGTGAAATTTCAATATTCAAGCATAATTCTTGGTTTCCAGGTCAGTGGCCTCCGTGAGTTTAGTACAGTACATTACTCACATTTTTGACTAAAAGTTATTTCATAACATGTATTTATTGTAATGTGTATTATTTTTGTTTTACTTAATTTAACTTTTTCACTTGAAAAAGAGTTGCTTTTGCTAACCGATATTTTGCCTTTTGGCCATTCTAACCATCGGTCCTGTCATGGTTGGGTATGAGTGGTTTTATTGTATATTGATTCCACGATTACTACAAAAATGTGATTGTTTCCTGTGATCACAGCAGCATCTTGATCATTTCCCACAAACACATTCTTCTTGCTAAACAAATACCTTAAAAGAAAACCATCAAAGCACCGTTTAGGAATGGACGCTCTGCAGTAGGCTATTGCCAATAGATATTAGATATCTAGACGTATTCCAAATTTGGTTCTATATACAATTTGCAGACAGGCTTCTGAGTCATAAAAATTTACAATTCCTGGTTTTATGGTTGGCACCCTTGTTAGCATTTCGGAGCATTGTTCTGAGTTTCGATTAACATTCGGTTTATGGTAGAGGGGTTCTGATGAGAGGGGCTCTGGTGTAGATCAAGTATGGAAGTTTCTCAAATTAAAATAAATATATAGTGAACAAACATCCACTCCATAAACTGGTCAGAAACACAACTTAAAATCTACTAAGAGAAGATTACAGTATGTTTAAACTAAAAAAAAAACTTGTGTTTGCAGGTGGGACGCAGATATCACACGGTGGCTCTCAACACAACATTCCCTATGTCGTTCCTCGACCCTCTGATGAGGATGTCTCTTAGTCATGACCCTGACATGAGGATCCTTGTACAGAGAATACTGCAGACTCTGCTGGACAGACACAGCAACACGGAGAAGCTGCTTAAGCCAGTGTCAGTAAAATATCATCCATCTAGCCATCTAGGTCTTCAGCATGAAACCATGCCACCAAAACAAGACGTTTCAGCCTCATTTTCTTCAGCGTTTCAGCCTCATGACCATTTTCTTAGAAGTAACACAGAGTACTTGTGTTTCATGAGAAACAGGTCAATTACATAATATTCAGAGATAATAAAACCTCTTTGGAGAAAATCAGCATGGGTTTCAAGTTTCCACTTGGAAAATAGTAAGCGCAGCCTAATCTGTCATGGAATAAATAATTGAATCAGTCAATAGTTTTGTTATTTTTTTGTCAATGTTTTGTTATTTTATCCAACTCCTCAGAAGTAACTGAAATACAAGCATTGGTTGATATTTAAAGAACTTTAGTTATAAAAAAAAAATAAATAAGAAAAATATAATAATAAGGCTACTATATATAAAGGAAAATTGAACAAAAAAAAATGTTATTCCCAGAAAACTGAACTGATGAATTTTAAAACTAGACAGAATAAAATACTTTTTTAAGAAATGTGTTTATCAAAGAAATGACTTGTAACAGCAATCCTGTGTCTTGCAGCATCAACTTATCAGAACTGGAACTAGTGGCGGAGAAGTGCAGCCGTTCCGACTCTATATTCCTGCGCAAGAACTCACCTGACATGTTCCAGTGTTTCCTGGACTCGCTGGAGCTGGAGAATAACACGGTAGAGAACATCGAGGCTGTATACACGACCATAGCTCTGCTGATCGTGGAGGTTGGCTGTGATGACACCATCAGCGACTTCCTCAATCTGATGCTCAGGATACAGGTTCGGCCATTGTCTGTACAAACCTCCTAAATACAAAATTTTTTCTGTTTATTAATCACCTTATTCAGAAACCATGATATGTTTAAATTTCTAAAACTTATGGAGCGTTCAGCAAACCCATACTTTTTGGTTAGTTTGGAAAGATGGTTGCGTCCTTTTCAACTTTATCTCTTTGTCTCTCTCTTTCCCACAAACAGTTGTTGTTCAAATAGATCCATCCCATTGAAGTTGAATTTGAATAGGTAATTGATTTTGATTTCCCAAACTTGTAAGCAGTAACATCCTCTGCCTCCTAGGATGTGTCCAAACTGAGTTTAAAATTTGATTGGAAAAAAGTTTCAAGATTCAAAAATAAGTGTTGATTGAATGAACTAATAATCTCATATTCATGTTATTTATTATGTCAGTCAGTACTTTAATTTTTCAGTGTATTCTGTTTGTGAATAACTAGCAGTTACTTAATTTGTTCTTTACGATAAATAATAAAAATGTATACCAATGACAAAAATAGTATATATATTTACTTGACTTAATTGTCAGCTTAATTGTTGGTATTTTGTATCCTCTAGGACCTAGCCATATCGAACAACAACAAGCTGCCCCCAGCACAGAGATACAATCTGCATGCTGTGGTGGCTTGTCTACTTATTCTGCTGCCTCACATAGTGGCCATCTCCCCACTCAAGGACTACAGCGAGAAGGTAATGTCATATCACGTACACGTTTGAAAATATTTGCATTATGATTTTGTAATAAAAAATTTTAAATATTGAAATTTTTCATAGAATTGTTTTTAGTTGTGATTTCAAACAAATTTTTGCTTAGAATATCTGTTAGATGCATCTGTTTATATAATTTAATTTTTGAGTTTTAAAAGAAACATATTATGTATTTTCATATTTATTAGTACCCATGGTTTTTTTATTGACAAAAATCATTTAGAAAAAAGAAATATAATGTATAAATGATACAATTTTTTACTCTTTAAATTCAATAGTGTGACCCTGACTCTTATCATAACACTGTGAAAAGAGCTTGAGAAAAGGATGTAGTTAACAAAATGAGAGGTCATCAGAAGTGTCTCATTAATGTTGAGTCAAATATGTATCACTCTATTTCTCCAAATATGCCAATTAGGCTAAAACTCTTGATTGCTACAAAGTAAAAACTCAGTCGGACAAGCCCTGACATCTACTCAGTGCAAGGAAAATCTCCATAGGTTGATGCCGGATAAGAACTGTATCGTGGTAGACTATAGTTTTATTCTACTTTGCCCCTGATTATCTTAAGACTGCCTTATCCTTACATGAAGAAATTGTAGTAGTGTAGAAATAAACTTGTGAATAATATGTTTTGCCTAGCCTAGTTGCAATGAAATACTTTAATTTTTACCTTGTAGAAGTTTTGAACAGCACACAATGATTGACAGAGGTCTCAAGTTTGAATTTTCAACTTAAACCATTCCAAGCCATAATACTGTTAAATTACTGTAAAATTTGTTGAAATAATTCTTCCTTTTCTATTTTAGATCATAGAAGAGAGGAAGAGCCAGAATGCCAGCCATCTCCTGCCAGAGCTTCTGGTCCACTATGACATCAGGTAAAAAATGAAAAGAAGTTTCAAAATTAACTAAATAAACTACAATAGAGTCCTGGAAATTAAAACTTTGGAAATCCAACAGTCTGCTTAATCCGAAACCAAAAAAGGATATTCATATTTTTAGGGAAATAAAACTAAGTATGAACATTGAACAGTGATAAGTGTTTTAGGTCTGCTACAGATATCAGTATACTATGTCATTGTCAAAGATAGGTAGTTTGTGTGGTCAGCAAAACAGACAATGCTTTAGTTCTACACTACATAGGTTTTAAAAGTCACCTATTTTGTTGTTAAAAATCACATCTTTCTTTTGCCAACATCATGCTTTTTTCAGCAAAATCATGCCAACATCTTTAGGAACAACATCTGTATATTTTTTTATGCAACTGTAGGAAATGATTATTACTGTGCTAAACCCGTAGTGATGTTGGATGTTGTGCTTGTCACACAGGTCACCAGGACCAATAGACCAGCTGCTGGTAGACAAGAACACCGTGGCTGAATGCTTGAAGGCTGCTGGTCTAGACTCTGCCCATGTCACACCTTCAACCATGTCGCACAGGTATACAATAAAACAAAAGCAAAAGATATTTTAGTACTTTTTTGGTATACCAATATGAAACAGACTATAGCTGACTCCTTAGCTAGCAATTGAACAATTGACAATTGGGGTAATAGTAAAAACTGAGTGTTAAAATGCTTAACATTTCAAAAGTGCACCTCTGCCATTAAAACGCTTTTAAAAGCGTTATAAATTGGTAAGAAAAGTGAAAGTCTAAATATTACATTGTTGTAATACGATAGAGAAGCAAGTTGATTAAAGTGTAACTTTGAATGCAAATTTAATTGTCAGTTTTGGCAAAGATTTAATCTCATAACTTTCCCTCTCAATGTTTCACTAGCCACATTAATCATCAAATAAACATGTGTTAATTAAGACAAAATTAACCAACGGAGCCACAGTTTTGAGATAAAATAATTTTTTGTCAATTTTTCTCTCTAACGTTCCATGAAAATTTTGAAAGCCTGATACCTACCTTGAAGAAAGTTGTGCAAAATCTCCACTAATTTGAAATTCAAAACACAATAGATCTGATGTTTTAATGGAAATATTTGAATTTGAGTAAAAAATTAAATCAGGCAAATGTAAATTCACTTGGTCGGTAGGTTAACTGCAGCGGAGGTATTTTAAAATTATAAGTTCTGTTCCTTACCTTACTTTAGCTGTTTTTGTTTCAGTTCCTTATTTTCCTTTTCCTCTCCTAAATCCAGCTTCATCCAGTGGGCTGCGTCGTCTCAGTTTGATTTTTTCCGGAACTCTTATGAATGGCGCAGGTCATAAAATACACTTTATCAAACATTATTTTAACAGGGCTATTTTAAGAATGATCCTGAAATAAATCTGTTGTCTTGGCATTACATTATTTATAGAGTTCTAAATATTAATCTAATTTTTGAAGTGTGCCAGGTTAAATTTGTTTTCTAGGTTAAGTTTTTTTTAAGTTTATATTTGAGTACTGTAGGTACTATTTTTAAATTATAGAGTTTAAGAAATCGTCTGTAAGTGGTTAAGAGTCTTCCATAGCAAAGTGGCAACTCAAACGCGACCATGCGACCCAATTCTGGTGGCGCTCTGTAGAACTACCTGAAAGTTTTTGCCGGTATTACGCGTGCCGCATCACACAAGTAGTTCTCCCGCGCCCCTATTCAAACGCTTGTAGGCGATGAAAAAGAAAGCGAGTTGACGACCGAGGCTAGGTCGACCCGACCGACTTCGACATCTGTTTTACTGTCTCTCTTTCTTTGCATGTGTAGGGGGTGGCGAGGGTTGTAAAATTGCTGAAAGTGAAAGGGACGTCGCTGACGCTACATTCCTAGTGTTTGGCCCCTAGTTGCTAACACTGGGTCGGCTACTCGAGATCATACAACAGCGTGTGCTTCGTACACATTTATTGGGAGTTACTAAATTGTCCAAAAGAAGTATTTCCAATGTTATTTTCTGATTTTAAAATTGAATTTCTTCTGTATCATGTCATGTTTTGCAATATAACATGTTCCATTACGAAATCTGTGGAAAATCCTTTTATCACAGTAACTACAATTATTTCTTATTGAACTATCTTATATCTATTTTACGGGGTTGTTTCTGCCTTTTTCACCACTTTTGCTATAGTTTATCATATTATTCTAGACAGATCATCATAGGTTCATGAGATTATTGTCATACATGTTTTCAATCATTGGAAAAATCTTTGATTACGTAATACAATACAAAATAATACAAGTGCAGAAGGGCACGGCGCCCATTTCCATATTTTGTTAAATTAATAGTAGTTTACAGCAACTGGATAAACATTTTACAATATTTATGTAGAGATATGTGCATGGTTTAGAAAATCATTAAGCTGGAAAACTGCAATATACTGCAGACTTTTCAGAGAGGTTGTATTCATTCAGCTTAGTGAAAACATAATATAGATATGTGTACAAATAAGAACTTGAACTCTTTGAGAGCCATTGAATGTTATTAGACGAAAAGGGTTGTGCATGTTTACTAGCGCTACCCAGCAACAAAAACCATTTAATTTATCTCTAAAATGTATATTCTTAAAGTACACTGAGCAGCAGCCTAAAAAAATCTATGTAACTTACCCATATAGTTCCACAATGCTCAAACTCGCATTGTGACATTATAATTCGGCTTATATTTCTCCAACAGATAATTCATCTGAAGAGAAGAATTTTATTGTACCCTTACCGTGTCTAATAACATCCAAACACAGAAACCTTGCCTAAAAATAGCACCTATCTTGGCAAATTATTTGCAGTGGCCTACATTACGGACCGTGGCTCACTGGGTTTGTAACATTATTGAAAATAACACAACATTTTGTCTGTAAAAATGGCCCAATTAGTAAATACTATTTAAGCAGCTACTGTCATGACAGAAAGGTCATATCCCTTTTAAACTAAATCACACCATCCTTTATAAGATACGTTGATTAACAATGCATGTAAACGTCAATAAATAACGTAACAGCCAATTTATTTTTTTGCTTTTTGGAAATGCCACATTGCATTTCCATTATTTCTTGCCAATGAAGCCGCACGCCCATATAAATGAGGTGGCCCCTAACAGTTAAAGAATAAAAGCCAACTTCACTTCAAGTATATTCCACTACACACTACACCTAACATTCCGTAGAGAGATTATATTGACAACTTTATGTAATTGATAAGGCTGAGACAATTAACTGACATCCCTTATGTCAAGGAATTCCAGCTTTAACAGTAACCCCACAACCAATTTCTCAAAACTGTGCTAGAGGGTTATTCATTGGCACAGATGTACGATATGAACTGACGCGACGTGACGAAGGAAAAATCAAACTTAGCCTACGCTGTAACTGATATACCTTCCTTTGAAGTTAAAACATGTCATCCCAACAAACAGATATTTTTTCAAATAAAATCATAGATTAATCTGCATTAGGCTACACTGATGAAATCACGGAAGTGTTTAACTACAAAAGATCCACCAATACGATTTTAATACTATTTAAAGGTTCTTTCAAAGGAAGAGATATCAGATAACATACTAATAAAAACTCCGATGACGTACAGTATGGGAAATATTTTATTCATTTAATGATCTTATGATGATTGATATTTGGTAACTAACGCAATTAATATCATTATTGTTTTTACACTTATTACTCTTTAAACGATGCTAAATGCTCAAAATATGTATAATTTCACTCAATTTATCGCAGTTAGATGAATTGGCCTTGAAAGTAACCGTCAATTTCGACGGGTTTCACCTAGTTATAACAAATACAGAATAAACACGACATAACAATGGAACAGTGTTCTAACATATGTAAATATATTGCTTTGTTTTTACGGTACAAGAGTAGGAACGATTCGAATTGTCAAGCTACTAGCCTTGTAGGAAATAGAGACTTTATTGATTTTGGAAGTACTGTAATCGTATGACGTGTTTGAAGTAGGATTTGAAATATGTGACGTCCACGTCAAACAATATTTTTCACTCCAAAATCCTCCCCGATAAGTACGTATTATGCCAAATTATATTTCGAAACCAGGAACTAAAAATAGATATTTGAGTACAGAAAACACAGCCAATCAAATAGGTATTGTTTAAATAAAAAAAAAACAAAAAAAACCAAATACTGGTTTGATTACAAACTTTGCTATTTATTTACTTCCATAAATTGATAACAAAAATCACCACAGATTCAAATAGTTAATATTTAATTAATGAATGTTAAAATATGTGTTTAATATCAAGAAGAATAATATGATTAATATGATATATATACAATAATAGATAAAACATTACTTTTGAGCAATTCAAACGTGTACAGTATTAAGTTATGATACAAATATTTACACACAAATCAATCCAACAGTTATAGTTTAAAATGAAACTGAATTTACAGAAAATACTATTGTAAAAACAGTTGGAATGTAAATAATCATTCACATTAAAGATGGACTGTAAAAATAAACTACTGCTTAGTGAAATAGCCAAAAACGAATATTTTGATAGATACCGTAATTAATACCAACAATGTAATATGAAATCTATCGGCCTACTAATTTTTATCTAACAGTGCATATTTAAATTATTTTATAAACACATACATTTAAAACCATAGCAAAAATCATTATTTACAAAAAATAACATTAATAACAACATACTAACTAGTAGAAAAAACAACAATTAACTCTAACAGGAAACACTTAAATGGAGTACGTCGATATAAACGCTAATGAAAAAAGTATGGCAATTTGTAAAGAAGATGCAATAGGGTATTTTTATCTAACAGTGCAAATTCAAAGTATTTTATAACAATTTAGAATATAAATCATAACAAAAATCATTATTTTAAAATGTACATTCATTATTCATCACCACATACTAACAAGTACCAAAACTACAGTTAATCAACACATAGCCGGACACTTTTAAATTAAATAAGTCTGTATAAGAGCTGACAAAAACGTATGCCAGTTTGTAAAATATGTGTTTATGAGTATTGTTACATAACTCATTCAGTAGTTCAAAAGTAATTTAGAATTTAAAATTATAAAAAAAAAATACTTAACATTAATCTAAAGCTGTAAATTAATAGTAAAAACATGTAATGTGAATGACATTCGCGGAAACTGATGATATACCTAATTAAAAATGTTATAAAACATAAAAATATAAATATAAACGTACAAAGCTAATTGGATTGTACCAAAATGGATTGAGTGTGATAATGGACTAAGTATTTAAGAGAGGTTTTGCCAGAACCATATCCTCTTTTCTCTTTTGAGCCTCCACAATGTAGGCTGGCTCCCTAAGTGGCATATTCCTCCTTTTTCTCGGATCAATCAATTCTGGGAGTACGCAGTCGTAGTAGAAATCAAATAATTTCTTCTCCATTTCGTCTCTCCAAAACTCATCGTCCCTTTCGATGATTTCAGTTCTTATACCAAGAGGAGTCCAAATAGTGAATATGCAGTACTGCCGTGGTGTTACATGTAGCT